TTTTACCTGAATTTAGATTGCCAACTTCAACACAGCATCAAATGTGTTTCTAAACATCAAACATATCTCCAGCCCTGATGTTACCCGGCTGAGTTTATACCTGGTTGTAGACGTTCAGCAGCACCAGGTGGTCTCCTCCGGGCACCACAAAGTTCATTCTGGCGTTGTCGGCGTGCACCACCTTGTCTTTGGGACGGTAGAAGATAGAGTTGTTTACAGACAGCATGGCCGCGATCGTCAACACTTCCTCCGAACATTTGTACCTGGAGAAAAAAAAACAAATATTCCCGAAATGAAATTCTGTGCGAGTCTTGAATTCATGCACATTTTTCAGGTTTTAAAGGAACCGTTTCACTCAACCTGCTTGCATCCTTTATCCCCACACATTAGACAGACTGCATTTCTTCCTCCACAGCAGACCCGCTTTCACAGGCCGCACATAATGTTTTTGTTTGATGTAAACACAGAAGTCCATCAGTTGAGTTTAATCCAATTTTAATCTCTACAGTCATGTTTTAACCTTGTGAATCACCCTTTTGTTTTGTCATCAGTCTTGTTCCGCGGTGGAAAAGTGTCCTCAAACCCATATTTACCTTCATACTACTGAATGTTACAAGAAGGTCATGTAGAATCACTCATTCATCTTATTATAGCCTTCCTTCAGTTACTGCCACTGATCTCTAACTGGGATTTATCACATTTTCCCCTCAACATCATATGCTGTTTACTCTGAGACCACCCGAGTGTTAAGATGAGATGTTGCCCACCCTCTGAGACACCACCAGTCCTACACAGTCTTCATTTGTACTTCTGCTAATTAAAATCCTATGTATTCTTTTTTTAATTCTCTCTCTTTGTCTTTGATGAAACTGCAAAACGTGAACTAGCTGATCAAGTTTCCAACACTCTAATAAGTGTAAGTGTTTAATTCAGCAACGTTCTGCTGTCAAAGTGATGAACAATCATGTTTCTAACTGGTAAACATGGCTGATTTGCTGAACAATGACGTGTTGAGTTGACTGAATCCAGTCTTTCAGTCTGTTTCTCTGTCATGTGGAGGTTCAGCCACATGCTGCTCCAAGCCAACTGCCCGTAACTGTATGAGCGTTATAAATCCTTCAGACCGGACTCAGGCAGACTTACTGACCACACTTTGTTAAAGTGCAACAGCTTTTTTGTTTATGGAAAGGGGGAAAGTCCGCACAGCTACAGATACGACTTCCATGTGATTTTTGTTTTTGCAGGAGTAATAAACAAACAAAAAAAGTCTTTCATTTATGCATGACAGATTTAAAAGTTTCATAAAAGTGCATCAAAATTAATAATTTCTATTGTTAATATAAATGCTGATAATAATGGGAAATGATAACAACAGGTTAGACAAGAAATCGAGACAAAATGCATAAAAACGCTTAAAATAGAAAGTGAACACACAGCAGTGTAAATCGCTGTAGCTGCTGAATGGAAGTTCTATTTCTGTTAGATAAAGATGATGGCATCCTGTGTCAGCTTAGCTACAGGCAGGATGTTTTTCCCAAGCAGTCATCAGTGGAAAAACTAGCAACGAAAGCACACTAGCTGTTTTTTTGTTTGAGTTTCTCAGTAGGTGGACACCAGCAGCCTCTAGTCCAGGGAAACTTCAGGCCTCTGGAGAACTTCAAGACATGTTGAGGTCATTCAGCCATTTAAAGCAGCTGTGTTGGATCAAGGACATCTAAAACCTGCAGGACACCGGCCCTCGAGGCCTGGAGTTCCCCCACCCCTGCTCTAGTCCATCTTCATCTTCTACTGCACATGTTCATAAAATGAGATGTCCGAGAAACAAAGACAGTGAGGGCGTTAAAGACACAATCTGCACACACAGATGTGTCGTGATGCTCTCTTTCCTTACGGTTACGGTTTTGATGTAGTGACCGAGCATCACTGACGTGTTCTGGTTGGTAAAAACCGCAGCGACTTGTGTTAAACTTGTGGGGCGATCGTGGCTCAAGAGTTGGGCGTTCGCCTTATAATTGGAAAGTTGCTGGTTCGAGCCCCAGCTCGGACAGTCTCGGTCGTTGTGTCCTTGGGCAAGACACTTCACCTGTTGCCAACTGGTGGCGGTCGGTGGCGCCAGTGTCCGGCAGCCTCGCCTCTGTCAGTGCGCCCCAGGGCAGCTGTGGCTACAATGTAGCTGCCATCACCATGTGTGTGTGGATGACTGGATGTGTAAAGTGCTTTGGGGTCCTTAGGGACTAGTAAAGCGCTATACAAATACAGGCCATTTAAACCATATTTCTAACCTTTATTTCTAGCCTTCGTCTTGTCAAAGAGACCCTTCAGCTCACCCAACTGAGACTCCACGTCCAGCTAAAATCAGCACAGATGTGAGGATGGAGGGACAGACTGGAATCATGCTAATATGTGCACACAAGCTTACCTGTTCTACAACTTCGCCATATAAATCTTTCAACAAACCATGCAAGCTTCCTGTACATAAAGTGTGGGAATCAGATTTCCTGATAATTAATAGTTTAACGCTTTCATGGTGCAATGTGACTGAATAAATAAACAGCTAATTTGGCAGGTAGTACAGACTCAAGCAGGTGACTATGATGCAATCAAACTGGAGACTCACTGCTCTGAGGCCAGGATCATCTTACTCAGCATGGGATCCACAGGTAACTCAGCCATTCTGCGACCCAGCTGAGCCGCCCCAAAAAGAGACAGAGAGAAAGAAAGAGTTAAATACCAATAAACACTTCAATTAATTTAAAAAAAACAAACCCAATGACCTACAAAACTGGCTAATGACACACACGCTCTTAAAAACATCCTCCTGTCCCTGATAATTACTCATTAACACGATCAGATTGGTAATAAAAGTTAAAATGCATCAGCACTTTTGATCAGGGAAGTGAGTGACTCTTCAGTGCTGGAAGCCATTTTACAGCCTTACGAGCATCAGGTGTGCAAAGTACGTGATGCAAATATGCAGCCGAGCGTGGCAGAGATGGTCACAGATTATTCCTGTAAAAATAAAAGGTGGTGTATCTCTCTCCTGCAGCTCAAGTTACAGTAAGAATGTAAAATATGTCCAACTCTGCAGCGCCTGTTGCAGATTCAAATGTAGGATGAGATAGTTCACCAGCTCTTTGTTGTACATACCCAGGGATCTGTGCGATCTGATTTTGGTGGAGTTTTTTGGCGACCCTCCCTTAGCTTTGTTTTTGGCCTCTATTAACTCTGTCGGACGGTGCATATTCACATCACGCTACTGTGAAGGTTAATGTCTATAAGCAACCTGTGATTGCAGAAATTCTATAAATATATATGACTATATTAAAAATATAGAGAGCGTCTCCAGGTTTGCACCTTTGTGAGCTCTCCCATGTGGTTGAGGGCTCCCAGGGCGTAGAGCTGCTCCAGAGCCAAGACTAGAGTCTCATGAGGAGGTGGGTCCATGAAGTCGAAGTGAATGAGGTCATTAATACCTGCAAGGAAAAAAGATTAGCTCACTACACAACAGCAGCCAACTGGTGTTTTAAAATCACAGGATCCCCATTTCTTCCCCCACCTAGACTCTTTAGCAGCAGGACTACATTTCCCAAGTTGGTCCTCTGAATCTCAGGCACAGTTGTTTCCTCCATCTCATGTTTATAGGCCCAGGCTGTGTAAAGCCTGAAACATTTCCCAGCAGCCACTCTGCCTGCTCGGCCTGCTCTCTGATTGGCTGAAGCCTGAGAGTTAAACACACAGAAAAAAAACAGACAGATAAATCAGCTGCACTAATACACCACCACACCTGAGCTACAATACATGTCTGTGAAGCCAGTGGAGGATATCTCTGAGGTCTCTTTAACATAGTATTTTTATGTTTGACCTGGATCAAAGAGGTTCAAAGTCCCACAAGCTTATCAGGAGATTTACTTATTTATTTTTTCTTTGGAGAGCTGGAGAGGTTTGTTCTTCTGAGGATCTCTGGCTGACTCCAGTGTGCCAATCAGGCCCTCCTCCACCTTTGATTATATTTCAAACACAATTTCACCAGGGGCTGCTTTCAGCAGCCAAAACAGTGCGAATCAGATCAAATCAAATATATTCAGTAAGATGTTTTCACAAAACAGGTTTGCACCAGCTGCCTTGTTAGGAGACAAAACTCCAAAATCAATCCACCTTAAAACAACGAAAAAGTCAAAAGCAATCACAGACGAGAAACCCAACGAACTGAATCCGACACGTCTGACCTTTCGATGTCTCAGCTGCAGCTACAATAAAGTTCAGCAAATGTTTGACCTTCCAGGTGATCTCACACCTGTAGTTCAGTTAATTTGGTTCGCCTCAAACAGCAGCATGACTAAAGGATGGTTCAAGGTCGCCTGATCCCCCAACTATAAGCTTTTTTTAAAAAAAGGACATTTTGAAGCCTGCTCTTAAAAGCAGAGGGTGTCTGTGTCCTGAACCTGAACTGGGAGTCGGTTGCACAGGAGAGGGACCTGGAAGCTGAAGGCTCTGCCTCCCATTTTAATTTGAGAAACTCTAAGAACACAAGTAGACCTGCAGTCTGAGAGCAAAGTGCTCTATTAGGATAAAATGGTACTATGGAGTTATGGTGTTGGCTAATCATTCAGCACTTTGAGCACAAGGAGAAGGAATTCAATTTAACAGTGAGCCAATAAAGAGAAGCTAATAAATGAGACATCATTTCTCTTCAATTCAGCTTCTAGGACTTGGTCTTTAAACATTATAATATGTATAAACAATATATTTATATTCCAAATATTTGTTTTTTATGTAACAGTTTATCTCATATTAGAGTGATATGTAAGTAAAAGCTCCACCCAGGCAGCTCACACCGGGTAGCATTTACTTTTGTATTTTGTATATATGCATTCAACTTTTCTTTGTTCTTTTAATAAACACTTAAAGAACTTTATCAAAATTCATTCAAAACTTTTTGAGCTCTCATATTTAAAGACACAAAGACTCCATTCAGTGCCTCCATGGTGGTGAAGACTGGTCTAACCCCACAGACCAGCCTGTACCAATCCCAAGGATGCACCCGTCATTGTTTAGAACAGCAATAAAAGGAAATGGCTTAAATTTATCGTCACTTCACTTTGATTTCCTGCTAGTTAAACATTAAGGAAAAGCAGTTACCCGTGAGCAAGGTGTAACAATGAGTGACTCCATGCCTGTGCGGGCGTTGTAGCTCTTCTGTTTGCAGAAGCCAGGGTCAATGACGTAGATGATGCCATCTATGGTCAATGAAGTCTCTGCTATATTGGTGGCCACCACCACCTTGGATTGATAAGAAAAGAAACACCGAGAGATAAAGTTAGAAAACATTGCACCACCAAAGATTAAATCCAGATGATAAATGAGAGGTTAAAAAAAAAAAAAAGACGTCAAAAACATGATTAACAACTGCAGGAAGCTCAAATTTATTTACCAGGATTTCTAACAGAGAAGCTGTAAAATCAAAGGATACGACGGGTTGACTCAGTGGAATTTAATGTTGCTAATGATCGAAGTACCAATATAACACTTAACCTTGTTTACACGCAGCACTAAATGCTTTAGCTCACCTTGATTACGGGACGCAAATCTCCTGAACAGCTGGAATTGTTTTAGGTCTTAATAGCTGCCGTTTTTTAACCTAAGATCATTTGTGGTTGAAACTTTTGTCTTAGGATTGGGCAGTTAAACAAATCTGAATGTGAATTAGGATTCATGTTTCTAGTGATTATAATTGGAGTCAAGACTGAAAGAACGACCTGGGCCAGCGAGAGCCTAAAAGTTTGAAGGTTTCGTAGGTGAACCTGTGGAAAGATTTAACTGAAGCTCCCTTTGTCCCAACATCACTCAGAGCCTCACATCCAGTTCACGTTCAGCAGTGCATGACAGCTAGCGTTTGGTTTCACCCTGTGATTACAGCGCAGATCCGTTCACCTCCATCTGCACCATCAGACATCTGCAGTGGAGGCAGACCAGCAGGGACCACAGCTGTGGTTGTGAGATGGACTTGTGAGAAGCAACTGTTTCTCCCAGAGAATCCAACTCCCAACTAAGGCACACTAGCTAATAAATTATGTCAAGTATTCAACACCGTATTGGCATAATGTTAATGATACTTTGCAATGCTCCAGCAGCTCTCATCAAAACAAAGCAAAAAACAGGCCTGTTAGCCTGTTGTGATTGTTATGAGCTGGTGCAAACTGTGAATATTCCAGTTTAGGAAAATGATCCGAGGCTGATCCAGCTGGCAGAGTAAACAGACCAGGACACTTGTGCAAACAGATTTTAAATCAAGACTCTGGTATCCTGGTTAAATAAGGGTTTAACAAAAACCCGACATGGTCGACTGCTGGTCTATTTTGTGTCAGCCAAAATGAAATATTAGTCCTTCACTGACCTGTTAGTTGTAGGGCAGCTGTATTAAGAAACAATAAAAGCTTCTCAGAAATAAGACACTGTCTCACCTTACGCGCTCCAGGCGGAGTAGGATTAAAGATCTTTGCCTGCATGTCAGACGGCAGGTTGGCGTAGATGGGGAGGACGAGCAGCTCTGCTATCTTAGAACCAAGCCGCCTGCATCTCTCCTGCAGCAGCTCGCAACACGCTTCGATCTCCTCCTGCAAGACACGCGTTCAGCGAGGCTCAACAATCAGCCGACACACACAAGGACACTGTACCCGTGTTTCTAACATATCTAACATATCTGTTCTGATCCCTCTCCTTCCCTTTGCATCCGTACATGTCAGGACAGTTTTCTAAACTTGTAGAATTTACAAGATCAGAGTGAACGTGGGATTTTACCTGTTTTCTAGCAAAAACCGAGTCAAATCTTAAGAATAAATATAGAAATATATGAATGAACGCATGCATGGATGATCAAGCTCACTCTGATCCTTCTTTGGTTTTAGATCAGGTCTGTTTCAGGTTCACTGTGGCCTTTTTCTGACGTTCATTGTGTTTTATCAGTGCTGCAGGAGCCACATGGGAAAATCAAGTTTCCACAGAAAGTGATGTGTTCACTGTGACAAAGAGTTTATGGAGAAAGAATCGTCCTGAGCAACAGCGACTCTGTCGTTTCACCTTTTTCCTCATTCCACGAAAAAAGAAACGAAAAAGGATTCAGGTAAGTGAAGGCAATTTCATCAGTTTCATTAAAATCAGCTGATTTTCTTATTCACTTGAGCCATATTTAATAAAGACTTTACTTTCACATTATGAACCTGCGATCCTCTGTGTCAGGATTTTGATAAAGTGGTATGTCCAAACTATTCTACAGAACACGTGAAGATCAATGTTGTTTCACAGCCATCAGTTAGAATGTGATTATATTACAAAAACATCTGCACACAAAGGAAAGCATGGAGAGAACATGATGTTAAACTAGGTGTAACTCTTTGAGAGAGAGATTTCAGTCTGACGTTTGCTGCAGAGCATCACAGTCGTGTCTGAAGCTCTGGATCTCTTGGGAATATGATATGAAGCGCACCTGTCCAGTGAGGAAGACCAGAATGTCTCCGGTAGGCTGAGTGACGTGGATCTGCAACACCGACACCACACACGCTTCCAGGTAGTCTGCCTCTGGAGCCTTGATAAGACAACACACAGACACACACACATCAACACCACAGTTTGGTTTATAGGCTCTAAATTGTAACGTTTACTGTGGCGAGGATTCAAATATACTTACTTTCGTGTAGAAAATATCGACGGGGAACCTCCTGCCAGGGATCCTGAAAACAGGCGCGTCATCGAAGAAGCAGGAGAAGCGCTCGGTGTCCAGAGTGGCGCTCGCCACCAGCACCTTCAGGTCCGATCTGAATCTTGCGATGTCTTTAATCAGACCGAACAGGATGTCGGTGTGGAGCGTTCGCTCGTGGGCTTCGTCTATGATGATCACACTGTGGGGGGAGACAGACAGAGATCGTGGGGGGAGCAAAACGATCGACACGAACGGGTTCGGTGATAAATGTCAAACTACAGAGAAGCCAGCAGAGGATTTATAAAACTAAATAAAGTGTCTGATTAAACCAGATTAGACCACCTGCACTTTGCTGTGTGCAGAGAGAAAATGTCACCTTCCTTTTCAAACTGACCGGACGCTCATGTGACGACAGCTTTGGCTAAGGTTGAGCAATTTTCTAATAAGCTCAAGGGTGACAGATCCAGTGAGCAGCAGAACCAATGACACGCTGAAGGAATGAAGTGCTCACTGCAGTTTCCTCTGTTCACAAGATCCACCACTCTGCAGCTGCATTCACATTATGAAAATGTCAGTGTTGGTTTGAACGGTTGCTATTTTGAGACGCTACAGCCTAGCAGCTCACAGGCGCATGACCAAATGATCTTGATGGAGAGGTAGGCCAAATTTAAATCAGATGAGGTTTCCAAACCCCCCACAGAAGAAAAAGGTAGTGGCCAAGAAACAGAGAAGGTCAGTACTGGTAAAGTTACCTACTTTTAAGACTGTGTACCTGCCTAAACCAAGATAATCTTTAACAAGCGTGCACGCCTGGTTGTGTCTGCAGGCTGAAAGTCAACTGCCCTGTCTTCCTAGTAAAGCCTACATAACTCCACAAATCCTCTGCAGCATTACTTTGCTCCCAGAATGTAGATTTAATAGAGAAAATGGTTTATGAGAATCGTTTATCCTGCTTCCATAAACTACTTAAACACGTAAAGAGCAGCCAGTACAGAAGTACACTCTCCCATGTCAGCACTGTTACTTTTAGGTGCTTTCTGCTCTTCATGAAAAGCAACATAAAAACCCAGCAGAGGGCACAGACGCATTAATGGCACCTGTAGCTGGCCAGGTCCGGTTCGGTGAGGAACTCTCGGAGCAGCATGCCGTCTGTCATGTATTTGAGCACGGTTCTCTCTGATGTGCAGTCCTCAAAACGAATGCTGTAACCCACCTGGATGACAGTAAAACACTCAATTTCAGTCTGCTTGATGGTGCAGTAACACATCAAGTGTTGGTGTAGTCATGTACTAAGCTCACCTCATTACCAAGCTTCACACCCATTTCCTCTGCTACTCTGGCTGCCACTGACATGGCTGCCACTCTGCGAGGCTGCGTACATCCAATCTTCATGCCTCCTTTGGTGTAGCCCTGATGGAAAGTGTTTAAGGATTACTTTGACAGCACTTTCAGGATGCTCAGGATTTTCCTTACTCTGGAAGGTAAATATTTCACACTGGAACAGCAGTCTATAGTTCAACATCCTAGGATACATGGACAATGTGGTGGACTTTGTTTTTTACTCCAAGAGGTAGAGGCCAATATTTCGGCTGGGTACCCCAGTCGCTGTTCTCTAACATGTTTACTACGTGAATATATGAAGCTACATTTAAATTCTTCACTCACGTCTTCCAGGAGGTACTGAGGGATCTGGGTGGTTTTCCCCGAGCCCGTCTCTCCTTCGATGACGAGGATCTGGTGCTCGTGGATGGCGGCCAGCAGGTCGTCTCTGTAGGGAAAGATGGGAAGGCTGCGTCGGACTTCCTGCATTGACTGTTTTTTCAGCTCAGCCTGCGACAGAGCCGGAGCATCCTGATCCTGAACGTGACACGGTCAGAAGAAAAGGCAGTTTGAGTTTTTACAGTGAAGCAGAAGAATCACAATCTCTTCACTGTCACTGTAACAAGTACAAGGAAAATAAGTGCAGTCCTGCGGTGTCACCAAAGAAAAGCTTAAATATAATTACAAAAGATTAATTTAAAAACAATCATTCAGTAATAAATGAAACCTTGTTGCACAGATAACACTAATGCACAGGATGTCATGCATTGCAGTGTACTCGTCGGGTTGAATCGGAGGCGAATTTGTGTCAGCGATGTTTACAGAAGGTTTGGAAGGACACAGTCGACTGGTTCTTTTATTTACACTCATATAAAAAGGCACGCAGGTGGAAGATATTTTCGTTTTTCCACCAACTCAAACATGTTTCCTTGTAATACAGCCTTTCATCACTCCAAAGATCACACTACAACACAGGCTGCATTGCACCCTGGGAACACACGTGACTGAAACTGTCCGGAAAACATGAGCAAATATATTAAATTGTTACTAAATGCAAAACATTTGTATGAACTGGCTTCTGTGTTTGATCACTTAACCCTTTAAGACCGACCATAGAACCAAGTCCGCCAGAGCTTATATTATATTTTTACATGCTGTGGAGCCATTTCTTGGAGCATTTCAAGTTGATATACATCAATGCAACCATTATAGCCCAAATTTTAATAATATGTCTGCATTAAGTGCATAGTAATTACATAAATTGCAAAAAAGTGCAATAAACTACAAAAAAATTGAAAATCGTTTTTGTTTTTTTAACATATATTTCTAGTTACAGAAATTTAAGAGGCTTATCCCTCAAAACTGTAAATAGAAAAAAGTTCACAAACTAGTTTCCCACCAAAGGAAATTTTAAGTGTCTTCATAGTTTTATTTTTGAGATACACCAATTTTCATATACTGCAGGAAAAACGAAAAAATATATTATAATGCAAATTGGCAAAATAACAGCATATGCATCAAAATAAACTATTCCCAGCAGTGCAATATGAGTCCTCAGCATCCCAGAAACGACACAAAGTCATAAAGTCAAAGATAACTTTTAAAAACACCAGTATTGGCTCATAAGGCCACGATGGTAAAAAACTACATTTGCGCAAAATGACGTCACTTCTGGTTTCGGGCAGGTCATGTGGTCATGTGATAGTTCACGCTGATGGACGTAGGAAGTGTTACGAACAGCTGATCGGATCGGCAAAGCGTGTTTCTGGGATATTATGTTTTTGTTGCTGCAAGTGATTTTTATGCAGTTTTTGCAAAGCTATATGTGGAAGGAAACCGTGACCGAGGACAAGCTGATGGCATCAGATGTAAGTACAACTCCTCTGGTTTCATATGCAAAAAAGATTATTGTGCTAGCTTACGTGGTTGCAGAGCTACGGGATTTAAAAATAGTTACGCAAACTGGAGCGCGTCCGCTCCGACCGGCTTTAAAGGGTTAATTATTATTTTTGCACGTAGTCTCTTCTTATTTCCCTAAATTTCTTTACTTCTCGTTCTGTTTACACACCTCTCTAAGGATTTCTGTGTCATCATGCAAATGACTTCCAAAATAACCCTGGTTTTTCAGCTCTTTTCTGAACGCAGGCATTCATTATTCTGAGACCTGCATTGATTATCTGACAGGTGAAAGGCTGATCCCACTGCACTCTCTGAAGTCAACCTGATCGTTTGTGCGCTGAAGCAGAAAGGCAAAAAGAAACGTGGAAATGAAAACGGAAACGAATAAATTCTGATCCGTTTAAGGTGCATAATTATGTTTTGACTTTGCAGATTTGGTTCTTCGTAGTTATTTCCTCAGATTCACTGACAAGTTCAAAAAATTGACTTAAAAGTTGATCAGATCTCAACATCCGCTGATGTCAGAGGTCATGTAACACTACAGTCCAAAATACTTCACTGTGCTCATCAGGCAAAGGATCAAATACTGAGGCTGCTTTTTTAGATCATCAGTTCTGCCATCTAGTGGTGAAACAAGAGGCCTGGAGGCTTGTGTCATTTATGGGATATAATACATGAAAAACTGGGGCTTAGCCAGTGGACTCTCCCCTCTGCTGTTATTACTGTAACTGGAAATCACCTGCTTCTCTGCATTTAGGAATTTCCTTTGTGTGGAAAATTTTAAAAATCACTCTCAAGTAAAAATGAACATTTTTGTTAGACCGAGCTGGGAAATGTTTCTTTGGTTCTACACTTCTATGCTTACATTAAGAGTTTTTTTAAAATAGAAAATGTACATATTTTTAAAGAAATGTAATTATGTGGTAATTTTCTATACTTTTCCAATCTGAACACTGGGAATAAGGCAAGAAGAACGAACATTCATGTTAAAAAGTGCAGATCAGGACAAATCTAAAAATATGTCCATCTGTTTAAGAGGTAAAAAGTGAATGCAACAAGTAATCTTAACAAATAGGTGGTCACCATTTTTTCTGCTGATACTTTTTTTCCATTCATGTCTTTTTCTTTGTTTTTAAATGCAGCTGAGAAAGAGCTGGTATTTCAGATATGATATCTAAACGGGTAATAATTAGTATCTTTGCATTTTCCATCAAGCACAGCACTCGGTGAAATTACACAAACTATTGCTGCTGTGCAGGAGGCTGTGTAACGCCTGCACGCCGGCTATGATGGTGAAAATAAGCAGATATTTCCTTTGAATCAGTACTGCACACGGAGCTGCAGACTAGATCAAAATTAAATGAGACCCACAACGATAAAAAACAATAAGGAATCTGATGAGCGTCACCTTTTCAGACCGAGTTCCCTTCATGGTAATGGCGGTGGTGACAAAGTCGATCATCTCGTCCTCCTCCAGGATCAGCTGGTACTTCTCCTGCTCCTGCTTCATTCCTTGCTCTCGCTCCTTCTTGGCCCCAAAGCTGAGGGAGGCCGTCTTCAGCCTCTCCTCCTCCCAGCGACCCTGCTCTCCTCCCAGCTCCATGGGGGTTTCCTCCAGCTCCAGGTCCCTCTGTGGCACCTCCTGTAAGTGTGGAGAGACGGTAAATATATGGACAACTGCAGTCAGACGAGTTTCTACATGTGACATTCCTCGTTCCCACCTTTCTTCTATTCTCTTCCGGCATGTAGTATCTGTTCTTTCTCTCCTCCTGCTCCTTGGCACCGGCCTTTTTGTAATCTTTAGCTAGATCCCGAATGGTGCGTTTGTATTCCAGCTCCTTCCTCTCCCTCTCTGTCAGCTCCTCAGTGGAGAAGAGGTACTCGTCATCCACGATCTCTGCCTCCAGGTCCTCCAGCTTCTCCGACTCTCTCTTCTTCAGATATTCCCATCGAGAGCGCTTCCTCAACTCCGGCAACTTTAAAGAGGAAGAGGAAACCTTATCACACAGCTGAGCAACTGAGGTCCATTTCAGGAATCAATGAGCGCACAAATTGTCCCGTAACACCCACCATATTCTTCTGATCATCTTCAGCCATCTTCAGCCTCTTCTGAGCTTCCTCATAAGCCTGTGGAGAACAAAACAACAGGATAAATATTTGCCTGCGTGAGACACGAGGTCACCTGTGAAAGACCGTAAAAGAGCTGCGTGCCCACCTTCTTGTCCGTCCTCTCGGCTATGTTGCGCGTCTTCTCCTTGTCTTTCTCCCTCACTCGCAGGGCAAACGCATCCCTCTCCTCGATGTCTTGCAGTCGCTCTCTCTCTTCCTTCTCCCACTCTTCCTCTTCCTCCTCTTCTCTCTTTACTGTCTTGTGGTCCTCTTGAATTGACTTATCCCTGATGTTAGAGAACAGGATACATAGTTTTACACTGGTGTCTATCTCTCCTCCACAACTAAGAATAAATATGAATGTAAATTATCGTAAAAAAACAAAAAAAACAACAAAACAGAAAAAAGCACCAAGATCTTAAAAAAGCAGAAAATAAGCAGATTACCTTTTAGGTGCTTCCTCCTCGCTGGACGACTCGCTGCCTTTCTTCTGTCTGATGTGCTTCCTCTTGTTCCCGCGTTCCTTGTCTTTGCTTTTCTTTTTTCCTTTCTGTTTCTCCCGCGCAGCATCTTCATCGGCATCGTCGCTGTCCTCCAGTAACGTGTACGTCCGGTTCTTCCTCTCCATTTCGATCGCTTGCCGTTCCACCGCTCGGGACGGTTTCTCAACGACCTGTTTATGAGGAACCTGCAACAGTAAAACAACATTAGAGGGTTTTTTAAACCACCGGAGCTAAAAGAAAATGAGTTTTGGTGAACGTCACAGGGAACTCGGGTAGAATTTCATGAATGAACCTTTTCAAAGAGTTCCTTTGCGAAGGCGGCCACACTCTGGTCGATGTCAATCGTGCCCGTCTGCTCGAGACGAGCCACAAAGTCTTCGGGACTCGATGCTTTCCGAGCAGTGCCGATCATGAACTGAGACACGTATCTGTCACTCAGCCCGAGGATGTCGTGGAGACGGTCGCTCACCCACTGCTCCAGATTGGCCATGGTGTCTTCTGAAAGAGCAAAGTCACAGAACAAAAACAGGGTTATCCAAAGTCCCGGTGCGACAGACACATGCGCAGGTACCTGGTTACCATTATCTTCATACAAGGCCTGAAAAATAAAGGTTTAGAAGGCTGTAATGTTTTCAAAAAGTTTTCCTAAGAATGAACTGATTCCCAAAGAAAATAATCCCACAGCAGCTTCATGAAAGACTGCAGAACGAGCTTAAAATAATTAACAAATAAAGGATCTTACATATTTTTCCTTACTTTCTCTCTTATATAATTAGCGTTCCAGTGGGTGATCATTTTAAACATCGCCAAAGTTTTAGATAATGAGGTCAACATATGTATAAGTAATGCCTGGGAGCCAAAACCCCTTTTTCAGCTCCTCTAGATGTATGATGTCCCACACAGAGGATATCCTTAATATGGTTATCAGCACAGCATCCGCCAAGTTGCTGTTTGCATGAAGCGGCCAATCAAAAGAATGCTGTTGTAAAGAAAGGCTGAATCAAAATAGAGCCAGCATGGCTCTTTTCAGACACAGGGTGAATGGAGGGCTGCACCAAGGCCCAGCTTAGGATAAATAAGGATCGTTTTAAACACTGTTCTTTAAAGATGACCTAGACTGGCTTTGCATGATTCACTGTTCAAATGATCTAAAACACTGTAGATACTGTTCTGCACATGTGGACCACAGCTGGCCATATGATGAGTAAACAAATTAGTTAGTTAGTTTGTTCTTAAAAAAGGCTAACAGATTTTTACATTTGACCAGACTTGTTTTAACAGACTCCAGGATGGGATTTAAATTAAGTCACAGATCACTGCAACTTAAAAAAATAAAAACAAACTTTGAAATTATTTATCCAGAATTTTCAAATATGGACAGGATCACCCTTAGAAAGCAAAAACTTTACTAAACTGTAGAGCTGCAGTGAATCCCCAACAACAGGCAGCAATGCTATGACTGTTGGAGCATCTAGAGCAGAACAAAAGTAAAAGCAACTTTATCCAGACTTTTAAAATCTGGGTTTAAGAGGGAGACTTTAGAAACCAGGACGTGAAGGAGCTCATAATGGAGATGCTACACCTCCACGCTGAAAGGAGCCAGCCAACATGTCAGCTTCAACTTGGAGGATGCTCCAGGACAGTAAATATGCAAAAAGAGATGATTTCCCTGCTGCCTTTCCCACATTCAGAACAGGTCCAGTTACAAACCTTCAGCATTAACCTTTGACAATCTGGATTTGATAACCTCTGTGAAAGCTAAAGAGTCAGAGCAGTGAGTGGTTTGTTTGTTTTTTTGCAAAACTACTAAATAAAAATGTTTCCTCACATTTAGGTTTCGTTAAACAAGCTCAAGTTTCCAATAACTTCGCCTTTAACTGCAGATCTGGATTCAGCGTCGTTTCAAACCGCAGTGTTTTGCACCAATACTGTCAGTTTTCATATTACAGCGTAGTTATCCATCCACTACTACACCTGCATTATACAAAGTGTGAGCGTTTGAGGAGACACAACACAACCGTCTCTGAAGTCCACTCACCGCTTCTCAAACGCTCTTGTTGTGACAGAAACAGCAGGTTGAGTTAGCCGACTGCTAACTCCAGCTACAGATGAGGCGTTAGCTTGAATTGCAGCGCACAAGTCTCCGGTTCGGACACTTAGCGGACACGAGCATCCTGCCGTAGACACGAAAAACTGTGCATTTGTCCTAAAAGTACATCACACACACTCATACACTGTAAACTGTTTTGCTGTTTTAGCTTAACGCACGCTGAACTTCCAAACGGAAATACGTCAGGCTAAACTAGGGAAGAAGAGCGGGCTGCATCAGAGGCGCCGGCACTCACTGCCCCCGTGTGGCCATGTGAAGAACAGCAACACCAGCTAGCAATAAAACAAACCAAAACATCCAGTTCCGCAAACAAACAGAAAATAAGAGCAGGACAATACGTTTTATATTTAATAATTCTCTTCTTATTCTTCCACCTGCTCCATACTCTCACTACAGGTCACAATATCATCTGCAGAGTCCTGCCTGATCTCATATGTCAGCCTGTCTTTCCACTTTCATGAGAGATCATAAAATAAGGTATATATTCTCTGACAAAACACTATGAAAAAAGTAAACAGGGGAAAGTACAACATGTTATCAGAAGTAGAATCTGCGAAGAAAATGGCGTTGAATACACCGTGCATAGCCTCACATACAGTACTGTCCTGTGTCTTACTAAGATTTGAGAAATGTTTCCAGCTTCTTCAATCCATATTATGATTTTTAGAGATACAATTCTTTTATTGTAAATAAAAATCTTTAGGTTCTGGCGTTTAGTTGGACAACAATTTTAAAGCTTATTGTTTCTGATCACAATTAAACATGACAAAAACACGCGGCTTTTACACGTGGTACATGATGAGTCAATGTAAAGTTATATTAGCTGAGCCACTGATCCACCCCAACTTCCTGCTATTATAATAACAGTCTAACACACACAATATCACCAACAACAACAGACTTAATGCTAAGACAGACACCTTTAATTTAAACAAACAAACGTTCACGTCACTTGTAACATGAAGTCAAACACATGAACAGAAGCAAGAGATGAGCAGCAACATGATGTTAACGTATGCCTTGTGTGTATTTGTGAGTTCATCTAACAGATGAAAATATAAATTAAAAAACTTTCATTTATTAAAATGCAACATTTTTTTAATTGTTTCAAATTAATTATAAGTGACTGATTGAAGTAAAAGGTCGAAAAGACTTTTGCTTTATCGATGGGGTTCAGACCGTTGAATGTTGAAGGGGTGTGATTCTGTAAAAGCGGATGTGGCCTGTGGAAAAAATACATGTGTATAAAGAGGAAGCAGCTCGCGCTCATGTATGGTTGGTTGTCAGTATGAAGAGAGCCGTAGTCCCTCATGAGGACACCACCTCAGGTCAAAGTCCTCGGGATCATCTACAGTCCCCCGCACTGCTTCTCACCTGTATCCGGGCGGAGATGAAGTGTCCACGGGTAGCCGCAGGGTCGCGTGGCCCGATGCTGCTGCTGCTGCTGCTGCTGGTCGCAGGTGTTTGCGTGGACAGCTATAAACCAGTCATCATCGTGCATGGCATCTTTGATGGACCACAGCAGTTCCAGAACCTGTCAAGGTTCATAAAGAAGGTAGGACCGCGCACAGCGTGCGATACTCTGCTGCAGAACAACAAGGCTCGAAAGCAGCTCCAAATGCGTTAGAGCCGCTTTATTTACCACAGGAATTAAAAGTGGTGCATTATTCGTGCTTGTGGTGATGTCTTTACTTTGATGTGTTTTGTGCAAACTTGTTAATGATATGTGCACAAAGACTCACGGGCCTGTTAATGTTCGATATTAGATTCTTAATGCGGTCCTGTTGTGTCCACGGTTGCGTTTAGACTTTGGTTTTTCGGGGATGTGTTTCTGGTGGAAGTGTTTAGCTATTAACGGACCGCAGGACTCGGGCTCTAACGTCTCCAGGCCAAGTTCATGTTCAGAGTAGCTGTTCAAATTTAAAACCAGTTTTCCTGCGTTGTCTCTAAAGCGGTTCTTAATACTGCGTACAAGCATGTTTACATATTTATTATAAAATAATGAAAATGTGTTTTCAAGTTCGAGGCTTGTCCTCATTTGCACACGCAGTCAAAACAAGTTTGTATCATTTTCTCGGTTGACTTTCAGTAACTTTGGGGCAACAAGTCTGCATATTTTTCGACTAAAGCCAACTTTATCAAACATTACAGTTCACAACAGTGATTTTATTTTATTTTTTTAATAATAAATAAACTGGTACTCACACAGAGCTTTCCTGTTCTATTTGAGCATTAAAAACCTTTTCAGGTGCTTTTAACCGAACTAACACTCACACTCTTATGGATGCTGCAGCCGCCAAGCTGTTGATTGATAGAGGACAATGCTAAAAGGGGGTAAGTCTGATCATTAAGTACTAGTTATTAGAACTTAATGATCACGCTTAAAGATTTACTTCTTTGACTTACATTTCAAGTTAAAAGACTTTGAAATGATTACTTTTTAAACTGGCTTTGCTCCGAGTATCTTTTGCACGGGATGTTCTGACTGTATTCTGTCACCGCAGCAGGCAGATAATGTGCTTATGATTCTATGCTTGTTATTATTCATCCAAAACCATATAAACTACAGTTGTGCGCTCGACTGTTGTTTGACCCTTTCCAAAGACGAATGAAAAGCCCCCAAAGTGTCTCTTGTAAGTGAGCAATAGGAAGGAATATCTCATTAGTCATGATATTAGATCACGTGTTCAGTCTGTTCAAGCAGCCTTAAAAGTACTAAATGATTTTATTGACGCTTTGCACAGAAACACTGTGCAGCCTTTTTCATGGACTTTTCAAAGGCTTTCGACACTGTAGATCATGTGGGTGGTTCAAAGATGATCTTTCCAACAGAACTAAGTGTGTGAATGCTGAACGCATCACCTCTTGCTTCCTTGATGTGGTTGAAGGTGTTTCCCAGGGATCAATTCTGGGGCCAGTTTTGTTCACCTTATATGTTAATAATATGTTAACCCGTTCATGTATAGTGGTCACTACAGTGACAGCTATTCAAAGGCTGTTTTCTTGTATTTGTGTCAGTGTCGATGGCATACTTGCACATAAACCTCTACACTGGACACTGATGTGTCACTCCACACCACCCACTGGTCCTTTAATGTTACTATAGATGTATGACGTGTTTCATTGTAATTATTCTTATTTAAGCCTGTCATGCATGAATTATGACAACCTCAATCAGAGTTTTTCTTAAGTGTTTTTATTCATGTTTAATTCCTAAAGATGAATAAAAGTGCTTAAAAAATCTGGATCGAGGTTTTCATAATTCATGCATGACAGGGTTAATAATCTCGATCAACATAAAAATTCATGCTCTGTAAAGATTTACGTGTCATGTGTTTTAGTGCTGTTGTTGTCCAGGTTGGCCGTGTAAAGGACATAATAAATCTCAGTGGGTCTTTCCTGGTTAAACAACAATCTGTTTGTGTGTAAATTGAACTGGTTGGTATTTCCTCAACGGTACCTGAATCCACCAAATGTTCAACACGCAAATCAAGAGCTTCTATCCTACTGTAGGTTCAAGGCAGAATTTTGTATTTCAAGTAGGAATAAAATACTTAAAATGATATTGGACTTGATAACATATGAGATAAAAAAAAACAGTGAAGTGAAAATCAGCAAATGGTTTCCAGTTAGCGATTTCTGTTCCTCTGTGTCTTTCATTTCCTCAGGATCAGTTTTGACTTAAGAGTTCTGCATTCGAGCACCTGGCTGAAGATTTATGACAGCTGATGTTTCCCCTCATTGTGCCAAAAGTTTTACTTCCACTTCAATTTCTTTGCACTTCTCAGGTGCATCCAGGCACTGAGGTCACAGTGATTGACTTGTACGACGACCTGTTGAGTCTGCAGCCGCTGTGGAAGCAGGTCCCAGACTTCAGGCAGTCCTTCAACTCCATCATGAAAAATGCTCCTGATGGTGTCCATCTTCTGTGCTTTTCACAAGGTGCTCTTGCCGTACACTTAAACATTTAATAGAAAAACAGATTTGATAGAAAAATAACAAAAGCATAGTCTTATAGCGTTGATGCCCACCTGACAACTGAGAAGTAAAGGTCCAATTCTGGGGACTTAGAAGGTCCACATTTAGAGTTTGGAGAGGTGGTAAAGTCATAATTTAGAGGATTTTCATCCAGGAGACAATAGTTTATATCCCACTGGGACTTTTTGAATTTTGAATTTAGCTTTTACTTTGTCTGTGTGATTGATTAAATTTTTTAAAATTAATTATTGTTATCATGTTTTAACTTTTATTCATTGGTTAGGTTTGAGCAAGTTTAGGTAAAAATACGACACATCACACTCTTCCACTTCTAGCCGCTGGTTCATCTCTATCGTAGTACGCAGTAGTTATATAGAGAAACTGCATAATAGTGAGGACTGATGAATTTAAGGTAGAAATTTCTGAAGCTGAGACTCATTTTTAGTCTCTTTTTTTCCATGAAGGTGGTCTAATTTGTCGAGCACTTCTCTCCACGACTCCCAACCACAACGTGCACACCTTCATTTCACTGTCATCCCCACTGGCTGGACAGTACGGAGGTCAGAGAGCTTTTAAAAACTTGTCTGCATAAGCTTCAACATTTAAAGACTGTGAGCTTTTTAACACACTTCTCATTATTCACCAGGATGTTTAAGATGAACTTGATCTCATCCTCTTACTCCACAGACACAGACTACCTGCAGAAGGTATTCCACAAAACCTTAAAGAAGAATGTGCATTTTATCTGCTACAACAAACTCGGTCAAAAAGTGTCTATTTGTGACTACTGGAACGGTGAGAAAACAAGAGTTCTTCAGATTTAACTGAAGACAGTCTGCACATTTACTGAAAGATAAAACATATTTTGTCCACAGACCCTCACCAAAGACTCAGCTACCTGCGGAACAACATCTTTCTGCCTCTCCTTAATGGTGAACGACCTCACAGTGACATGAAAGGTATTGGATCTGGTTTAGTCATCATATGCACTGGTTAGCACGAAAACAAACGTTCATGCCTTTGGCTTTTCCTTTCACAGCGTGGAGGGAAAACTTCCTGCAAATCGAGAAGTTGGTGCTAATTGGAGGACCGGATGATGGTGTCATCACACCGTGGCAGTCAAGGTCTCACTGTCATCAGCTTTACAGCGCACACTCTTTGTTCTCTTTCATTTACATTTTATAAATGAGAGGTGGCTCATTATGTCACACTGACGAGACTGTTTGAAAAAAATCGACCCATCAATTTCCTTCTGTTGGCTTTCAATCAGTCGAAAAAATCCTGACATGAATTTTGGAGGAACAAAATTTCCTGTAGTGCATTCTGCTGCTTGTGGGCCACAAAGCAGCACTTTATGTGATGGTCACCTTAAGATGCATGTCGGTCCTTTTCAATATTGGATTCAAAGTCCAATATTTGTATTCAGTTGCACTCAGGTCAGTCAGGTCCCACCTTCAGACTCACAAACAGTTCCTCCCCCTGAGCCATTCATCCCCCCACTCACCTCACCGCTCTGAGCCAGGGTCTGAGTAACCCTCATCACTCAGGCCAGACCAAGTCTTTTCTTTGCACTTTGCAACTGTTTTCTTCTCAAATGTGTGCCTTTCTCTTATGTTTGTGCACATTTCTTCTGATTGCTATTTATTCCTGCTGTCTGCTAATAAAACTTTATTCCAGAACAGTTATGTGGAGCACGCACAATTTCGTTATACATGTACAATGACAATAAAGGGCTATTCTATTCTATCCTATACTAAAACTACACTTAAGTAAAGATACTCAGTTTGGAGACAACAAAGTTTTTACCAGCAAAGCCTTCGATGTGTTTGCAAAGTGATCAGTTTGTGGTAAAAGTTATGAAACATCTTTACCTGAAACAACTGTTTCCTTTTTTCTGTGCAGCCACTTCGGATTCTATGACAGCAGCGAAAACGTCGTAGAAATGCAGAAGCAGGAGGTTAGTGGCAAACTGAAGTGCTGCCTGTACAACACACTTCATTTTTATTGAGGTGTAGCTAAAAACACAGTCCTGCTGTAGGTTTTCACTTAATGACTGACATAATATTAAGTCTGTTACAGAGGTGTTGATTCAGCTTTGTGGAAATCGGTGGTGTTTCTTAGTTGTGCTGCATTATACAGTCCATGTTTTATTTATGAATTGAGAATAGATGGATGGATGTGTGGCAAAGCTGAATCGTTTGTCTGCTGTATCTTATTATCTCATAGCAGGGCTACTTTTAGTGACATTCACAGCATGGAAGTGTGGCAGGATATTATACACATTTTCTTTAACGCACACACACAAATGTTGAAGGGAGGAAATTAAGGATGAACAGATCATTTTATTAACAAAATAAAATTACTCAGGGTGGTTGATGGGGAGGGAGTGGTGGTGGAATTGAGGCTGAAAGGAAGGTGGCTCAGTCTGCTGAGGAGAGATGAAGGGAGAGACGGGTGGAGCTAGGTGCAGAGGTTTCAAAGCTGAGCCAGAGGAGGAAGAGGAGGAAGGCAGAGGCTGGAGTCAGGCAGGGAACAGAACATACAATTTGTGCAGATGCTGCAAAGGTAGGAATACTTCATTTTGGAGTTCTCCTCCCACCAACATGTTCCAGCAGCGTATCATACCTCTATCATGCATCACAGGTAAAAAATGCTTTTGAAAAAGGGACGCACCTGTGCGTCTTCAGTCGTAGCTCCTGCAGCAAGCCTCCTCTGTTGTCTGTCACCAGATGTGTTTTAGGAATCGAGACGTTCTTCAAAATGGGGTAATGAGATTGTTTTCTGGATAAACAGGTAGGAGGATCGAAGGGGCACAAATGTGAGAAATGAGAATGAGCACACAAAGAAAACCAGAAGTAGGCACAGGAAGTTTAAGAAAGAACTCAAAACTAAAGGATGTTACAGAGACCAACACTAAAAGGCTCCTCCTGCTGGACTGCTGTGTTAGACTGCTCTCTTGTAGAGAATAAAATGTTAGCTGAATGTATTTTATTGCAAATGTGTTAAACTAAACTTGGATTTTTTTAATATCTCTACTATTTTCACTGCAGACCCTCCACTGTGTTCATTCAAAAACACAACTTGAATCATGTCATTTCCTTCTGCTCTCTCAGTTTTACCTGAACGATGCGTTTGGGCTGAAGACGCTGGACCAACGTGGCGACTTGGTGACGTGTGTTCATTCGGGGGTGAAGCACACAACCTGGCACTCCAACTTCACAGTGTTCAGGAACTGCATGGAGAAGTGGCTCACATAAAAACTCTCCAACAGTAAAAGCGTGGACGTCCGTCCAGATGTGAAAACTTTTTGTGCAATCAAAGAAAACAATGATTTAACTCCTGTCTGTGCAAATGTGCAGGATTTGTGCTTACTGCACTATTCATACTGCACAACTGACTGCTGTAAAAAAATTTTTAAAGGTTTTTATTTTATTAACATGATTTGCTTATATACGTGTATATGTTGCATTTATAATCAGCTTTCAGGTTATGATGAACTATCTCTTTATAAGCCATCTTATTTAATGTTTTCCACTGATCAGTGTTGATAATAATTATCTATGAAACATCTTTTAAACTGTTGTTTTTGTCTGATTCACAGAAAGTGCATTTTGTACACAGCCAAAACTTTGTGATCTTTTTTTTGTACCTTGAGAAGTCCTTCATGGAAATATCTTGAATATTGGGCGTAGCTGCTGCTCTCATTTCTCATTCTGTACATCCTCACTTCCGCTCTGTGCACCTTCAGATGGTGGTGTGAGGGCAGGAGGTGAGCAAGATATACAAGGAGAGAGGAAGTAGTATACTCAGGAGTACAGAGTATAAGTAAATGAGACTTCCTGTCCACTGTGTGCTTACTGTCAGTATCACACCCACAGAGGTGAAGGATCGGCTGTACGCATAGCTGAGCTCCTGATTAATCACTCAGTGCCCTCTGGTGGAACTGTATTGTAATTTATAACAATGTATTCATATCAAAGCTATTTCCTAGTTTCCTCTTCATGAGGTGCATTTCATTATTGCATTAACATATTTCATGAGAACTTGCATCTCTGCAGTGCTTGGTCTGGTTCCCCCAGACTGTACAGTCCAGCTAATGACCTGAATGACTTTATTATATGAACTTTTTTCTAAAGTGCATTCTCAGAAATTTCTCATATTTTCATGCTTTTCTGTGACTTTAACTGCAGATTTATGACGCTACCTACGATTGTCAAATTTAGCTTTGCTCATAAGAATAGAGACTTAATTACTTTTGAATGTAAACCAGCAAATAATGCTTCTGCCAAACTTTTCTCCAGCGTCTAGTTGAAGTCGTTATTGTAAGTCAACATATTTTCAGCATATTTAAAGCGCAGCGCTGTGATGAAATTGAATCTAGTTAAACAGCAGTGAAAATCTAAACCGGCTCTTTGACCTGGCTTAGATTTTACATGCAGTTTGTCCCACTGCTGACACTTCACCCATGATTAGATTAAAGCGTCATGGTGGAGTGTGATCAGTCACTTAATCCAATTCATTTTCTCCAACAAGAGTTACTGATTCAGAATCTCACTTTAAATTGTGATTAGCTAATATATTTTTCATTTCATTTCATTTTTATAGGAAAAGATTCAATATATTTAATCTTCCATACGCAGTTTTCCCCCTCATGATTATTTCTTACATGCAGATTAGATTCTGTGACAGAATAGCATAAAATGACTTAGTATTTGACCCTGCAGCTGAATTACTAAAGAGGTGGATCTGTAATAATTAATGATTTTAGATCCACTTATTGTGTAACACTACTACTAACGAGTGTTAAATATATAAATAAAAACACATGAAAAGTACAGTAATGCTAAAATTAAAAATGCTTCCATAACAGAAAGGCCGATTGCGTGTCTCATTACATTAGTGAAAGCAGGCGTGGTAGTGGGCCTACGAGTCAGCGCAGAGCCACACGGGAGCAGTAACGATCTTTACTGACTCGCTCCAGCTGTTGCTCTTTAACAGGTATGACCGGTGACGTCACTAAGGTGACACCCACCTCTCCTCCTCCTCTCCGGTGTGTTGCAACGCAGCTCCGGCTCAGTTCCCGGTGGAGATTTTTCTGGTTGGAAATCTTTCTGTCGCGACCATGAAGCTTTCCGCCGGCTCTTTCAAACCTTCCTCCCTCTGAGAGGCCCGCAGGACTTTCAGCGTAAGTTGACACCGATTTGAAAACTTTCCCGTGGATTTGTCTCGTGCTGGATCAACTACGCTGCTTTTACGTTGAATCTCTGGACCTCGGTAGCTTAAAATAGAGGCAGATAGACAAAGTTGAAATGTTTTCCACTGGATGGGGATGGGTTTCCTTTTTGGAAACATGTTGTGGGACGGGACGGGCTGGGGTTTAAAACAGCTGAGCGCCCTTTGAAGGACGAAAGCTGGAAAGACAGATTCATTCATCGACAGTCTGGCTGCACTTCACTGTCAGCGTGGCTCAAGGTCGACGTGTCCCGCCCTGTGGGGAGCTACTGTAAACAGCCTGTAGCTGCAGACAACACAGGGCTCAAAACATCCACGGAGGGAACAGAAAGCTGTAAATCAGAGCACCAGTCAGGCTGCTGATAATGTCAGAACGAGTCGTGCTAAGTGTGAAGGCAGCTGGAAAATGCAGACAATTCTCAGCCATCCATTTAAACTTTAAGTTAGGAACACCGTTGCCTATGATGAATGTTGTACCAGAAGAAATTCATTACCTTCTCAGTAAGCTAGTATGCCACTGTGATAGTGGAACTAGATCAATATACTGTAATCTGCAGGGAGGATCCCCAGGGGAAGAATGACGATTGGAGTGAACTTGTAGATGAACAGGTGTTGGTAGGTATGGTGATAAGGAGGTGCAGAAGGACAGATGGAGTAGTTTGTGCCAAAAGGCTGGACATGGCTAAAGTGAACATTTCATCAAGACAGAAGGCTTTATGCAACAGTGGGGGAGTATATCTTATGCAAAAGGAACAGTCGGAAAGACAGAATGTAGCTGGGCAGGATTGGGTGTCTGCAGGCTGTAGGGTGGCTTTGAAAATGAAGAAGAGAAAGCAAATGAAGGCAGAGGCAAGGATTAAATGGTGGAAGATGATTCAGTGTGGAGCTGGCACAGGCCCTGGGTGATAGGAAAGAGTTACCAAATGACTGAGGAAGCGCAGCAGAAGTTTGTTTGGTCTATCCTCTGGGCAGAGGGCTGAGGACAAGAAGACTTGGTGGTGGAATGAGGAAGTACAAGAAGGTATTCGAGGAAAAAATGGTATAGTCAGGGAGATGAAGTCTGTAGACAGGAGTAATAAAAAGCTAAGTGTACAGCAAAGGAAAAGTAAGTTTTGTTTGAGACTGAACACTAAGGAAGGAGATAAGGACTTGTAATGGTTGGCTAGGTAGAGAAGTCAAGCTAGAAAGGATGTGCAGCAGGTTAGAGTGATTCAGAATAGAGATGGAACTTTCATAACATTTTAAGAGAGTGTGCTAGGAAGATGGAGAAGTACTTTGAGAAGCTGTGAGTGAAGAACAGTGTTGGTCAAGTTACTTGAAAAAAGTAATCAGTAACTAATTACTGATTACTTCCCAAAAAGTAATCCCGTTACTTTACTGATTACTTATTTTCAAAAGATTAATTAAGTTACTTAGTTACTTTTTAAAAACACGATTTACAACCTGAAGAGGTGATAAAGCGATAGATCTTTCAGCCCAATTCTACTTTTTCTGCATAATCCATCATACAAAATGTAATCAAATGGAAAAGTCTCTTTTTATTAACTTGTTTTATTAGTTTTAATCTTTTAACTTTATGCATCAAGCAAAAATTTAATTATATGCAACATTCTCTGACTGGAAGAAATTAGTTTAACATTTAAACCTATTTTCTGCACATTCCAGCACATAAAATAAAAATTTTTTGTGTTTACACTCAGTCTTTCAAATAGATGCAAGTAAAACACAGCAGAAAAAATAAAGTCAAAGACTCAGCGGTCCTGTTGCTCTATTTTCACCTGTAAAGCAGGAGTGGGGAGGCGGAGGTTTACCCTGGTGCAGGTGTGCCGCGGTCAGTGGAAGAATCCGCGAGTTTCTCTGTGAGTTTCCCATTACGTCGTAGCTACTCGGTGCTTGTTGGAAGTTTAGGGGTTTTTTCGCTGTAAAAAGAAGTTTTCTTCCCACGCACAGCGGACACTAATGTTTTTGTCACTTTTTATGGAATCAAACTCAAAGTAAGGTCAGTACTTCCACGCTTTAAACGCTGCACGCTCATACTCTCTCTGCACTCGATATGTGATCCATTGTTGATCTGCACACAGCTGTTGTCACGAACGTCGCACTCGCTTACGTCACTGTCATGAGACATTCTCGCAAAAAAATCACGGTTTTAGTAACGCAGTAACGCAGCGTTCCTACGGGAAAGTAACGGTAATCTAATTACCGTTTTTGCAATAGTAATCCCTTACTTTACTCGTTACTTGAAAAAAGTAATCAGATTACAGTAACGCGTTACTGCCCATCTCTGCTGAAGAAAATGAGAAAGAGAGGAGGTTACTAGGATGGATGGAGGAAAGCTAGAGAATGAGGAAGTGCAGAGCATTAAAAGAAAGTGAGGGCAGCTATGAAGAGTGTAAAGGTGGTTTGCCCCGATGACAAACCTGTGGAGCTATGGTGATGTCAGAGACAGCAGTTAAGTTTCTAATCAGATTGTTCAACAGAATCTTGGATCTACTCATCCATTTCAACAATAAGGTTGATGTGCAAAGTTGTAGTAACAGAAGGATGAAGATGATGAGCCACACACTAGATATGGGAAAGAATTGTTGAAGCTAGGTTAAGAAGAGAGGTGAGCATCAGTGCGGCTTCACTCTGAGAAAGAGCTCCACACACCTGATGTTTACTTTGAGAGTGTTGATGGAGAAGCATAGAGAAGAGAGGGTCAAAGGCTGACAGGTGAAGTCTCTGTATCATGTTGTCAGACAACACTGTGACCTGTAGGTGGAGGTATGCTGTGGACAGAAGAGGAGTGAAGGTCAATAGAACCAAAACCGAATACGTGTGTGAAGGAGCGGGATTTAGGTGGTGCGGTGAACATGCAAGGAGCAGAGACAATGAAAGTAGCTGTTTAAATACCTGTTGTTGAGAATGCAGGCAGGGTGGAGTGGGTGGAGACGGGCGTCATGGTGATTTGTGACAGAAGGATAGCAGGCAGAGAGAAAGGGAAGGTTTTACCATATGGTAGGGAGACCTGCTGTGAGACGGTGGTGCTGAGCTGGTGGCGGAGTTGAAGGTGTTAAAGCTGTCATTGGGAGCGACGGCTCAGGTCGAGCATTTTTGAAACAAAGTTAGAGAGACGAGGCTGAGGTGGCTTAGACATGTGCACAGGAGGGATGGTGGATATGATGGAGAAAGGATGTTGAAGATGAGCTGCCAGGCATTTATGGATGTAGTGATGGAGGACAAGCAGAGGGTGTGACAGAGGAGGAAGCCAAAGAAGAAGACTGTAATCTGCAGAGCCCTCAAAGTACACTAACATAATAATTTTCTGTTGACACAAAGAAACCAGCTTGAGCGTCTCCTCGTTATGTAAATCCAAACATCATAAAAATGCAGAAATGTTGAGATGTGTGAAAATGATATCTATCAAATAAAGGATTGGAGAATAGAGAAAAAGCTTCTCTACACAAGGAACAAGGCTGGAAAAATACTAATGTGTGTTATGTTTGGATCCTCAAGCTGCAATTACATTAAAACACACATGGTCCTGTAGTGGAAGTCACTTTGTGGGCTTACAACAGACCAGTGCTGGAACCATAAATGGAAGTTAAAACTCCACCAAGCAAAACAAAAAGAGGCCAGGACCCCAGCAGCCCTCTCTGGGCCTCGTTGGTGATGGAGTGGGTGGAAGTAAAAGCTTCCTGTGGTCTGATCAATCAAAATCCAAAATTGTGTTTGAAAATCTTGGAATTTTTGCCCTGACAGGACAAAAAGGAAATGGATCCAGCTTATGTGTGTAGTTCAAAAGCAAACTTTGTTCTACCTAATATTGATCATACAGTGTTCACAACACCAGGCCTTCAGTAGTAAATGATGAGAATTTCCATCAGTGTCTGTATGAAACATTTTAGCTAAATTCTGCTTTAATTTACAGTTTCCTCGTCTATTGGACAACAAGGGGAAGAAGTCCATCTGTCCAAGATGTCCTCCAGAAGTAAAAATGACCAGTGCCAAATATGTGGCGGAGCTCTCCAGGGAAACCAACGGCGGTGGCTGTTTGGGGGCCAGAATAAGAAAACTGGTCAGCCTCGGACCCCAACAGGGTCGTTGAGAGGAGGGAGCCGGTCCCAGTCATCACAGAGCAGCTCCTGGGGTGAGTATAGAGCTTAATAAATGCTTAACATATTGTAATAGTGTAAAAGTAAACATTTTGTTTCTCTTCACAGGCAGCACGTTATCTCTTGGTTCCTCCGTTTCTCTCTCCAAGTCCCTGATGTCCGTGAGCTCCCCCTCCAAGAGCGTGGATCTGCTCACGGTGTTGACCCACATACTGGGGCAGTCTGTACCACGGGGCGGCGGGCAGGGGGAGTTTGTATGTGGCAAATGCGTGTGCCTGCTAGAACGCGTGTTCAAGTTTGACACGGTCATAGCCAGGGTGAGGGTGCTTTCGTCTGAGCGCCTTCAGAAGCTGACGCATGAGAGGGACAAAATCAGACAGTGGGTGCGCCAAAACTACTGCCACAGGCATCTGCAGGACTTTCAGAGCAGGAGCAGCACCAGCGAGGAGGAAGGAGAGGTGGAGAAGGAAGGCTACAGGGAGATGCTCAAGGAGAATATGGCGCTCTCAGAGTATGAGTGCTGGTCAGAGAAGTGGGACACGTGTCCGTATTTTATCAGAACGGGGAAAAGATGCAGAAAAGGGAAGGGGTGCGAAGGTTGCGATTCCTTACGGGTGTCCGACTCTGATTACGAGTCAGTTTGTGGGGTTCCTCGTCACATGCCTTTCCAGCCCTTCTCCCCGTTGTCCCAGGATAGATCCCAGAGCGTGCCCCTCCACTGGCAGAGGGTGCCATCCGTCAACTCCAGCCCAGCCTCCCTGGCAGGGTCCAGTCTCTCGTTACGAGCTCCTTCCCACACGGAGTCCATTCAGTCTCTTGATTCTCTGGACGGGAATGACCCCTTTGATTCAGCAAGTGATCAGTCAGTCAACTTCATGCTGAGAGAGCTGAGAAGTATTGGAGGGAAGCCGGTCAGTTCGCCATCAGGAAGTAAAATCCCCGTTCTGGGCAAAAGGGATGGGAGGTACCTGGGAAAAATCGAGGAGACTGCATCACCCACAGTGACCAGGGTGCTGAACTTTAGGGATGTGGAGAACGGAGGGGATGAAGAGAATGGGGATGTCCTAACATTGCTGAGGGACGAGTTCATGCCTCTTCACCGAGAGGTGAGTGTGCTGTAGAAGATCATGCAGGCCTGGATGAACTTTGAGCAGTTGCCATGTGTGCTAGTAGCTGTAAATATTGACCGTGGCTGCAATAGTTTATCCAGGAACAGCTGCAGCTTGTCCAAACGTCCAACATGATTAGAATTACACGCGTTACTTTTCTTTGTGTATTGCATAATAGCCCACACCGTGTTTATTGTGAGGCTTTTTTATTTTATTTTAGAAGACTGCTGCTAGAGTTCATCATGGTATCCGGCACCTAAAAGGCCAACTTGACCAAGCTGCATCCCGCATCAGGACCCTGGAGGCTGAGCTGAAACATGGGAGAAGCAAACAAGTGGAAGTCAACGGATCACAAGACTGGGCCCCTGTAAGCTTTCAGTTTGTTCTTTAGATGTTGAATAATAAAATGAATCCAGTTTTCAGTTTGAAAAAAAGCTTTAAAGTCCCTAAAATTTGCGTTCTCTCAAAAGGTCGGCAGGGCCTGTAAGAAAACTGTCCTACTTCTCACTCAATTTGTGACCTCATTGATCTGACAGGCTCATTTGATAGTCCTTTATAACGCAGCATCATGTTCATTTGATAAATTATGGTAGGACCGTAACATGGTCCTACTTTAATTCACATGGATGATGAAGTGGGTCATCGGTGTCTTCGAAATTCATAATGTCTGAGTTGAAAAAACAAACAAAAAGATGGCAACAGTCAAAATTTAAAAGGTGCAGCTTCAGATTGGGATGTCACAGTGGGTAATGTCACAGTGGCATCACACAGTTTTCTGATTGCCATCATTTCTCTTGTGGATAAAGCAAAAGCAAAGCCAGGTGGGAGGTGAAAACATCTCATTCTAGGCTTCGGTAGTCCAAAGGCCAGATTTACTAAGTACTGGTATCTAGACTAGCTTGAAGGGTAAACTGAATGGAGATGCTGCTGATATTGTGATTTAAGAGATATTTATTTATTACCACAGAGTTATTTTTATCCGCTGTCACACGAGGTAAATGTCTCCAGCCTTTTATTTCTAAGAAGAAAAACAGGTTTATTGCAGCAGAGTGACACAGCAGCTCCTCGGTCACATGTGCAAACAGCTCCGTGAGCCACCCTGCGAGTGTTGACCGAGTACAAATATAGCATTATGAAAGGAATGGAGGTTGGGTGGTTGGTTTTGTATCTGTGCAGGGTGTGTCTACATTTCCTCATTTTCAGGTGCACATAAAGACACGCACAACACAAACACACTCGCAGCCTCTCACTGGAATCTTCCCCGACCGGTGGAGTTTGCCCCGGGCTCGGTAGTCTTATGATAGAGGATATCATTAACCGGCCTCATGACTGTCACAGCGAGGCTGCTGTGTTCACATGGTGAACATTATTAATAATTAATGTGAAATCTCTGAAAACAGCAGCAGGTTTAAACGTGCAGTAACCGACATTTAAGTTACTAATTTATCCCCGAGCAGTTAGTTTATTTTGTTTTTGTTCTCTTTCCGGGAAACTGATGTTTTTAAATTCAGTACTCGCTCTCTTTTAGCTTTCTTTGATCTCCATGCTTTTTTATGTTCCATTAAAAAGCTGAAAACTGCCTCCTGCTGCTTGTGGCTTGTAACTGGAAGAAATGAGCTCAACTGAAACATAAATGAACACAGTCACAACAGCCACCTATTTTCTCATGGCCTCTTCATCACATTATATTGAAACTTTTCCGTTTTAAAGCGGTGTTGGGTGATTACAGATCAACAAATAAAGAGCTTTTTTCTCTTTGGAAAATTTGGTATTTAATTTCTAAGTTTTGGGGATTTGCAAAAAAAAAACCCCAAAACAAAGCTGCAAAGTATTAAATTAAATGGATCCTTACAGAAATGAAATAATAAAAAGGACAAAAGTGCTTGTTCTGAGCACATTTAAATATATTTATTAAATGTTTTATGAGTTATCACACAGCAGGTTGGAATAGTTGTAATCACTGTTTAAACAATGCTGAGAATTTTCAGGGATTACTCTGTAGAAAATAAATCTTGTAATTATTATTATTTTCCTATTAAGTAAATACTTTAAATATTTAATGCGTTTAAGTTCTCAAATAAGAAAATTGGCTTCTCTTTTTTAAAAGAAGGTAAACTCTGAGCCAATACCATTTCAAACGCACAAAAAAATAATCAATAATGGAAATGGTCGTCTTTAAACTCTCTGATGAGGTACTGGAGTCTGAGCTGTTCCATGGCTCCTCTGTGGCTTTTGAATGAAGCTGTTTGTTCTCTTTCCTCCAGCTGGTCCAGGAGAAGGAGGCTGGCAGCTCCCTGCTGCAGAGCCTCGGCCTCTCCCTGCACAGCCGCGAGCGTCTGATCCAGGTGGGTGAGGTGGAAAGCGTTGCGGCAGCTCGAGCTGCTGCTGCTGAGGCTCCGACTCGAAAGCTCTCTGGAATGTTGTTTTTCTGTGAAGCTGCTGTACGTTTAAAGTGGCAGTGCCAAATCTGTGTGTTCACGAGTGATCGGAGAAAGCTTTCATCACGACTGCCGGTGTTTGTAGCTACTTGTCATGTTGATGATTAACAGCAGGAACATTTGTGGACTCACAAAAACACAAAACAAAACGGGGCTCACCTAGCAGAAAGATTTTCTTACCTGAGGGTTACTGGAGGATCATGGAGACTGTTAAAGAAAATATTGACATTTATGGTTAAGGATAAAGTAATAGGATGGAGCTTTTCAGTTACTAAAACGATTAAAAGATTATCATTGTCCACATAAAATACAATATGATGATATAATTAGTTGGTTTTACATGTGCTTGTGCACAGAGGCTGCACGTCTCTAGCTTTACACTGGCTCTTTCCCTCTATTCCAGTCTTTATGCTGGGCTAACAAGCTGCTGGCTCCAGCTTACTTTCTCTTTGCCAACTTTATCTGAATCTGAAACTCTTCCATTTAAAATATGCGCATACTTTATATTTTTGCATCTAACACTCAAACTCTGCTTACCTCAGCCATTTAATGCAGAAACCACTGAGTAAGACAGTAAATATATGCTACAAAAGGAGAACCGTGTCCTGTAAAAGTAGCAGAACCAACATAAAACTGACATTTTCAGCATTATACTTCATTTTCTGTTGATCCGCACCTCTGCCTTCTTTACACTTGAACACTGAGAGTTGTGGTTTTAAACAGATTTGAGCATGTCCGTGTACCTGCTTCTCACTTGCATCCATATCAAGTCATTGCCTCTGGGTATTGTAGCTCTCTGTAGTATTTTGCTTTAAAAGCTCGCTGTAATCCTCGTTTAGAAAGGATTTCAATCATTTAACATCCAGAAAACGCAGGTAAAATGTTCACGAATGTGTTCACAGACAGATATTTCCTGTCTTCCAGGAGTGCACGAGTCTGATCAGCAGGCTGTGTGTGGAGGAGGGAGCAGGCACTGAGCTGGCCAACAAGCTGACTGAGAACTTGAGAGAGATTATCTCTGACAACAAGGTTAGAGCTGCGCTGTCTGTCATTCTCATGCTGATTGTTGACATTATAGCAAAGCTTGCTCTGCTTATGATGACACATGTTACCCGCTCACTGAAGCACGGTGGTTGTCAGCACAAGCAGGCGCATTTTTGCTGGTAGTCAGCAAACTGAGCTCTCGTGTCCCTGAAAGGGTGGAAGTCCTGTGATGGACACTTTTTATTGAGTTCAAAATTCTGTTTATTTTCTGTCGATAAGCTGATTGTTTCATTTTCTGATCTTCAGGCTGCGCTGGAGGCTCTGAGGTCTGAAATAACTGAAAAAGAGAAGAGCACGGAGAAGGAGATCGAGGCTCTGAGGAAGGCTGGACGAGACCGAGAGAGAGACTTGGACACCCTCAACACTGTGCTGCAGTGCAACCAGGACATCATCAGTGTAAGACCACACACTGCCACAGGGGTGGTCTCCTGTTTGGCTGTGACTCTATTTCTTTTTGATACGAGGTTAGAGATGCAGGACAACTCGGGGAATATAAAACAATCCTGTCAGCTCCTCTCATGCTGTTTATTTTGCAGGCATGCTCATTCATACATTGCACACATACTGATCTGTTTATCTGGTTACTTTATTTAATTCAAATACTCGCAATTAAACGCAAAACACAACCGCACGCTCAGCACTTTAGTCGCGCTGCATGTACTTGAAGCTCTCTCTGTTTTTGACTCAGGACCTGCGGGTGGCTCTGGGAGAGAAGGAGCAACTGCTGAAGGAGGTGGAGAAAGAGAGGGAATTGTGGAGGCAGAGAGACGGGGCCCTCACTGCTGTCCTGCAGGAGAAGGAGGCTCTCATCTGCACCTTCAAAGAGCAACTGGAGAAAGGGATGGAGGTAATACACCTGCAGCCAAACAAACCTCTCTGAAGCTTCTCCTTTTACTGTCCTGTGGCCGTAAAACACGAGATATATAAATGTTTTTGCACAGCACTCACAGAAGCAGGGCAGAAAAACCCCTGAAGTTGCCGCGCCCTCCTTAATTGAGTCATTGTGCACAGACAGAATGAACCTGCAGTAGCATCAGCAAATCTAGAAAGTGAGCTAGATTGGTTTCTCTGGGTTAGAATTAGATTATGAATTGAGTTTAATCACTATAATGAAAAAGCTTCGCCTGTATTTAGCATGCACATGAACACAAACACACCCACCAGTCATTAGTGTGCTAACAGTGTAATTATGAGCCTGTCTGTGTGCTTATTTAGTCCCCGGGAAACGCTGGGCAATGCACTGGTGGGCAGTTATCTGAGTTAACTTTGACTAATAACCTAAGCTGCTTCTATGAGGAGCATCAGTCAGATGTGATTAAAACTAGTTGGAAAGGTTCCCCTGCAAGTTTTACTTCTATCAGCATTTTTATGTTTCTGTATTCTCCCCCAGATTTAAAGTCAGGATCTTTTTAGTGCCATGTCTCTCGTATTATTAGGATATGACATGTGATTTTTTTTTTTCCTCTGTGTGACTGGATGAACTCTGCATTCCTCCCTCTGTACGGCTAAGCTGAGGTTTGTCAGTAAATACTGACTTCAGTAAGTAGAAACGTGTCATTTTCTTCCAGGCTCTCTCAGATTCTGTGACTGGCCAGCAGTCCGGAGGGGGCGGGGCTGAACTGGCAGCTATGTTGAAGGATCAAGAGGAAAGCAGCGCCACCTTGTGCCAGGAGGTCACCAAGCTTACAACGACCCTGCAGGAATACCAGGACATGGTGCAGGTGGGAGATTAGCCCGGCCAGAAGAGTTAATTATTTCAAGTGAATTAGAAAACTGAAAAAGCAAAAAGCAGCTGAGTTTGTGATGAATTTCCACTTTTACCTAATAAGTCTGCATTCAAACACACATTCATAGTTTATAATAGATTATAAGACAGAAACTTTTGAAAATACAGGGAAAAATATTAAATTGTAAACTTTTAATGTACCTAAAATAATGTGAAAAATAATTAAGTCCCAGCTTCTCTGATCGAGCGGTTAAACTTCTTTTGAATGCACCTTTCCTACAGGTTAGAGCAAGTGATTTACAGAAATGACAGGAAATGTAAAAAATGGAATAACTGAATAATCTAACCAGTAAAAATGCTGCTCTTCCAAAACAATGTGGTGCTTCGTTTTTTAGAAATTGCTTCTAATCAGTGCTGGCTGGAAAACCACACTGAAATTTAAAATGAAATCATCGCCATAAGCTGCCTCCTGTTTGTGACCCTAAAGTTCCACATCACAGCCACAACAAATCTGAGCCGTTCATTCTGCTTTTTCTCCAGAGTCAGCAGGAGAGTCACAGTCGGACGGTGTCCTCCCTGACGGCTCAGCTCAGAGACGCTCGGCAGGAGCTGAGGGAGAAGGAGAAGAAGAAGAAGGAGGCGGACCGAGCGCTGCAGAACGACAGGGAGGACGGAGAGCGGGGCGAGAGGAGACTCAGGGACAGCCTGGAGAAGAGGGACAAACTCATCGAGGTAAAGAAGCAATTCGTGCCACTCTGCAGCATTTTAGGCAGCTACTCTGAACGCCTCAAATAATAACAAAAGCTTTAAAATATTTAGCATCTGGGTCAAAATAAATATTAAAAAGCTTTTCATCCCCAGGAAGATGCACTTGTGCTGCACATGCCAGTGTCTCAGAACATTTGAGCTTCATTAACAGCTCAGTACCAACACTGTCAGCGTTTTTGCTCAGCCAATGAGAGCGCTGAACCACTTTATGCACCTGGCAGCTTGATTGGAGGCCATGTTTGTTGAATCCACCCATACATTTCTGTTCAGGACATCTGCTCTCTTTGATAATAATACCGATACTTGATGTTTCTTTAATATTTATTGTTGGGCAAATAAGAAGTGAGTGAGTGCCAGTGTTTGTGTGTATCCTTGCTGTCATATATGTGAAGACAGAGCACCTGATACAGGGCCTAAGATTTGTAGTGGAAAGCACCGCTGCTTACATCTGCTGGTAGACTCCTCACACGACTGCAGTAAAGAATCTGTTCTTTGTTGCGTTCTTTAGGCTTCGTTTTGATCAAAATATCACAGAAAGTATGGAAACACTGCACTAATTTAGGAACTTCTCGAACTTATGAACCATTGTTCGTGTTTCCAAACCGCGAGAAGAATCGTTAAGCTCAGACAGGTGGTTTTTGTTTTTTGGTTACCACTTGAATTCAAATATTACTTCTTGGTTAAGTTGTCTTCAGTGTTGTTGTTCGTAGTAGGAGGAGTACAGAACTAACAATGAACTCGCTGTACTTATGAGTGCTTTTCTTTTTAAAGCAAATCCTTTTGGATGCTGAGGAGCGGGACCATCTGTTCAGAGAGCTGCAGCAGAACCTGCAGAACAAACGTGAGCCTTTGACGGCCGTCAAACACACACTGTGATGGAGGAGGGGGAGGAGCCGGGCTGACACACTGCACCGACGCCATGCAAACTCACTGCACAAAGACGGAGGAGCACTTTGCACTTTCCGCACCTCCTTTCTGCCTCCTGAGCATATTTATCTTGGTGTACATTAAGTCTATTTATATTTATCCTCGCAGATTAATGAGACTTGAAGGAAAGAAGCTACTTTTCTCTGTGGAGTGAGTGAGGCGGTGTGATTGTTTTCTGGAAGGGGAAATGTTTGGTGTGTCCTCTTGTGGCTGGATGTTTAATACTTGATTCAGATACGAGCAGATTACTGTATAAATGTGATTTTGAATGTAACGGGTTTAGGCAGTGAGATCGTTTCATGCAGCGGGAACATTTCTGAATGGTGTGATTGTCCTTTAGGACAGGAGCGGGCACAATATCGCTTTAAAAGGTGTTTGTTTTTTTCGGGGGGGGGGCTAATTATAATCTTTAAAACTCTTTATGGTGGCGTCTTGTATTCATCTTTTTCCTTAGTACAGAACTGCCTAGTTGCTGTTTACAGTGCTGATGTCACGCTTTAAGTGGAAACGTGCAACCAAAGAAATGTTTTTAACGGTTTTAATTTTCCATTTTTCTTTGTCTCGCTTTCTATTTTTCTGGAATTATTTTCAACCATCTTTAATGTTTACGTGTCTTGTATTGTTGGTCAGGAACTGAGACATTTTTTTCCCCCATTTTTTGCCTTTTAGCTCAAGAGGATTAAAAACTCTGATCCAAATAAGTTCAGTCTGCAGTTCTTGTTATTTTAAACTGCATTTCAACTTGTTCTTTCTTAAAGGGACATTTCACTCCAGAATTAAAGTTCAATCTGTTTACCTTTGGACTGCTCTGCAGTAGTGATCCTCCACTTTAATATAATGTAAGTAAACAGTTCACACTCCATGGTAATCAAAGCAGCAAACCACATGTTTGAAAAACTCGGCAGCAATGTCTCTCTTAAAGTTCACGAGGCAGTTACTTGGAAGAAAAATTCCCAAACCTAACGTGAGCAGTTCCACCAACCCTGAGAAGTGTGCGTCTAACAGTACAGCTCAACCAAGAGGGACGGCTTTAATGTTTAGATGCTGTCAGACTGTCGTGAGCACGAGTCTCTCATTGTGGGAAAGTGCACACTTTGATTTACAGTAATACAGCAGGAGTGATTCAGTGCTGTCAGTCACAAAGTCGCACAAGCTAAAGCAGACTGCTTTATTTTCCACTTTACTCTGATGTAGATGAGACTTCAGGGAGTCGACCCCTGCTGGTCATTATAGAGAACGCAGGTTTAAAGCACTGTCTAAGTTAAATTTTAATTTCAGTCAGATTTTATATTTAAAAACAGGCACATTCACAGAGCTCCTGACTTCCTCCTCCTGAAGCTTTAAAAGCATGAGCCTTAAAGCTGTAGACTTCCATCCCCACCTGTTGCAGAAATCTCTCATCTCTTCTAGTTTTGTCTTGTTTTTAAGTAAACTATCAGTCCTCGCCTTCCTTTAAAGAACCAGATACGAAGTAGAGAGGAGCACTGACGCGCCACAGCTGTGTTTCAGTCATTTAAGAGTTTCTGTGAAAGTTGAAGGGGGAGATCACACTGAGTGCTGCGTGTCCTGTTCCATTTTCTCTCCAATCACCAAACGGCTTGGAGTTTCTAGTTACTTTAGTTGCTGTTGCTATGGAGATGACACAAAGTTTTCACCCTGGATACTTGGTAGCAGTCACAGATGAGGCCAGTTCATAGCATAGTGATGCAGGTTCAGTCGGTTCCCCTCGGCTCTGTTACCATCGGACCGCAGTCCTGGCGCGAGGGTACGGTCCGCTCCATTCGGCGTGCTGAGCGCCTGGTCCGGCAGACTCGAGCCGGGCAGCCCGCTGCGTGCAGGCAGCCCCGGAGCGGCAGCAGCAGCGCCGCTGCAGGAGTAAGCCTAAAGCGCTCAGACGGCACAGCGGAAGTCACAGCCAGAGATAAGATAAGAGCGGAGGCGTGCAGACCGAGGAGTCGTGACTGCGTCTGCAACCAGAAGATATCAAGACCCCAAAGTGCAGGAGCCATGGTGAGACAAACGATCCACAGCGTGCCAGGGTGGTGTGAAAGCCTGAAGTTATAGATTTTAAAAGTAAATATATGTAAACTATTCTAAACTAGCGTTCACAGTTACAGGAATCCGTATGAAAACTGCACAAGAGTTTAAACTTCATTTCATATTGAATAATAATGAATAACTGTTTTGCTCTGTAATTAAGTCAAGGCAGCTTTATTTGTAGAGCAATTTAAAAGACGTCAAGTATCGGACAGAGTGCTGAACAGAGGGACGTGGAATAAAAAAAATAAGATAAAGGAGGTAAAGAAGATCCAAAAAATCCATATATATACACATAAGCAGACTCTTATATACACTTGTCTATACAAGTATATATGTACACAAACATATACGTATATACACACGCACAGGTATGCACGTGGACATAAATACATGTATGCATATACACATACATACAACATCCAATGTTATAACAGACCAGAATAACTAAGAATAAAAGACTTAATCAGTCTCTTTAATTCTGTCATAAGCACGAGCAACTGTTTTAGCATCAAAATATACTAAAAGTACCTCAATTAAAATTACTCACGATGCATTAACACACTGGAGGTGATTTTAATTACTTATACCCCTGAATAGCTTTATCTACATTAATACAGCATTATACATATTCATAGATTTAAAATCTGCAAAGCAAAAATAACGGTGTGGTGCACACAGATGTGGAGTATTTGCTTCCTGGATTAAAGCATCTAAAAAACAGAATCACAGAGAAATACTTAAAGTCTATTAAAACTGAATCAGCAAAGTATTTAAGTAAATCTACTAAACTGCTGCTACTACATTCCACTGCTCACCCTATCCATGCCCTCATCCTGTGGTGTTGGGCATTGTGAGCTCAACAGTACTCCAGTCCAGTGGCATGCAGACGTTAAATTTATGGGGTATGAGCCTGAAAAGGTTGGAATCTCAGCTCGTAGGGAGCCAGGATGAGGTGTTTTAGGAGATAAACAGACTGAAACATTCTTTACAGAACACTGCAGAGCAATGAAAAGCCCACGGAGGTAAGTACAGCTTTATAAATCAGCAATATTTTACACTTGTTGGTAGAGGCAGAGCTAAATTCATTTAAGACTCTCATCTCTGAGACATTTTAAGACTTAAAACACCTTTATTTTCGAACTCTTTCTATATTAAAAGCCTTCACTTGTTTTTATTTAGATTTTCATCTTCTGCATTTTTAAGTTGACTGATGTTTTTGAGTATTGGACTCAGACATTGAGCTTTTTTTAAAGTTCCCTGGTGGCTCTCAGAGGACACCTGTGGCCCCGTTCCCACCTTCCAGCCTGCGTGAGCAGTGTGCCGGAGCCAGTGTTGCTGTAGTTGCTGACTACATGCGCAGAGTTCGGGAGGTGGAGGTCCAGCTGCGCAGGCAGGCTGGCAGAGTGACCGAGGAAGGTGTCAAGCTGGAGAGAGAGCGAGGACATCTGGAGAGGATGCTGCGCAGTCTTAGGACCAATCTGACCATCAACCAGAAGAGCTCAGAGGGGAGAACCAGGAGGCCATCCACCACTGAGACGGCAAGCTTACACAACACTGAAAATGCTGAAATTCTTCTGTATTTGGTGTTAAAGATGTTCAACCGTGGTGAAGTATTTTCTGCCCGGCACCTCAGGATCATTTTCAGGATTTCAAGTGCAAAAACTTGCCTGCTTGCCTCACGCACACACAGCATTAAATCTTTATTACCTCCAGTATCACTGAGAGTTAATCCAGCACCAAGGATTATTTGATGAAGTTCAGAGCTGTAGACTGAGGCCCTGACAGGTCTGCCCCTTTGCAGGAGAGAGATGGTGCTGATTACTTGCTGCTGTGGGAGAGGAGAGAGCTGGCTGAGCTGAAACAGGATCTGGAGGGAACACTGAAAACCACACTGAGCCAGCTTCAGGTGATTTCAGCCCTCTGTCTTCATCGCTTGACTTGTTTTCCCTCCACTCTACCCTCACAGGCATGAGAGAGGTTAGAAAAACAACAATGCTCAGGTATCACTAACCTCTACCCTTCTTCTTTAGATTTTGTTGTTGCTGGATTTATAGGGACAGCTTATCCACCTAAACTGTTCCGATGTGAGATGAGTGAATTCTCTTAAATTTAACACATTTAAAAATCCAAAAAACTTGTGAGAAGTTTTGTGACTAGAAGTTTGGTGGATGTAGATAGTAGAAAATAAGTAGTTCCTTTGTTTTGGTTCTTTGAAGACCAAAAGGCGAGTGCCATTAGGTTGCATTATATTCAGGAAAAGGCATAGACCCACTGATAAGATGGTACCGTGATGTGTCTGTTTTAGAGTGAGTTGTCCAATCTTGTTTGTTAGAACTACAGGCCAGAGGAAACATGTAAATTCACTTTTGAGGTGAACTGTTCCTTTAAGTTAAAGCTCAGGCATTTCAGGGGATGAGTAACAGGAAGTAACAGCCATGTAGCATATATCTTTGAGGTTGCTAAACTTAACATGTTTATGTTTACTGGGTTACTGAAACTCTGCTGCGTATCCAGGCTGTTGATGCCTCGACCAGCTGAATGAAGAATTGAAAGATTGCCTGCATGGGTTTCTTTAGGCTGCTGCAGCTTTTCCCCACAGCAGAACTGCTTGTTGACTCTGAATAGGCTGTATGTGTGAATGTGAGCTTGAATGAAGGTCTTTCTGTGTTGGCCCTGTGATAGACGGGGACATGTTCAGGGTCTATTCCACCATTTGCCTTATGGGCTGGGATAAGCTAAAGGCCCGAATGCCCCTGAACTGGATGGGCTGTTTGTTGTCAAGCAAGCGCACTGAACAGAGAGTATAACTGGTGCTGTTAGCCTGAGTCAAGAATAATGTACATAGACAGAAAGATACATGTAGCCACTGTGAAATAACCGATTGGTTTGTGGTTTGCATTTTCAGTCGAAAAAACCCCCCACTTGAAAATCTCACATATTTTATTTTATGAAACTTTTTATTGTTATTTTTTACCACATTTTTCTGTCTGCAAAGTAACCCGTACCTATATATTTGTCTGCCAGCTGCTGTCCTAATGCATTATTTCCTGCCTTCTTCTTTAAGGCCCTGGGTGAGAGCAGCAGACAGCTGCTGGACTGTGCCAGTGAGAGGGCTCGAGTACTGGAACTGCTCCCTCTCAGTGGCTCTGCTGGAGGACATGACTCTGCACCTCAGACCTTTATCAAAACAGACCCCATCAGCCCCTTTACTCCAGGTACACTCAGGACAAGGAGAAGCTCTCGTTAAGAAATTATATAAGAAATAAGAGCAGATTTTGCCCAAATATCAATGAAACAAGTGAGAAAAAGAACAGCACAGTTCTTACACCACACATAAATTATATATTTTCAAAACAAGATCCTAAAAACAGAGAAGTATAAACTCCAGATCTTTAATTAAACGAATTAGTTGCTTTGCGTGTGGTCACTAATCTACACAGCCAGTGTCCCTGCTCACACTCAGAGAAAGAGCAGGTCATCTTAAAACAGATCTCCTGTGTCCTCAGGATTAAAATTGACAGATAGGATATCTCCTGCTTCTCTTGCAGAGTGTAAAAAGGCTTCAGAGTTGTCCTCTCTGAGGGTCAACCAGTCGCAGCTACTGAGAGAAACCATCAGACGGACGCTAACCAGCGCCATCAGCAGGCAGAAAGCTGCTCATTGCGCTGTCAACGACGGCCTGGTGAAAAAAATTGCAGAGACAGTCACTCTGCAGGTAAAAAGATCCTGAATTAATGCAGAAGTGCATTTTTGTATTAAAGTAATAACACATACTTAACCATCATTCTGTCTTCTGTAGCAAAATCTGGCGCTGACGTCTGCAGCCACCCGGCAGGCCATGTTTCGTAAGCAGAGGGAGATCAACTGCATTCGTCACAGCCACGGCAGAGCACAGGTCAGAGAGCGTGTGGAGCTTGTTTATTTGAGATTTCATGAAAACGTTTGGCTCACGCTGTCCTGCTCACAGGGTCCAGAGTACAGCGGCGATCTTCTGTCCAGAGAGAAGCTCAACAGGCCTCTGGTGAAGGTTTATCAGAGACACCCGGGGACACAGTTACCTGAAGCTGCTCAGCTCATTCAGGTGCGTCCGACACACATTCGGCTGCCACATTCATTATCATACTTCATGAAGTGTGTTTTGGCCTTCACCTCGTCCTGATGTCAGGTATCTGAGTCTCTGACTGCTGAGGTTACATGTGTGTGTTTGCACTGTGATGCTAAGCTGGGAGTGTACTCTAAGCCAGCTGGACCTTTTGTGCTGAAACGACTAAGCTAACAGACTCTGCTGCAGGTGTGTCAACATGGACACTGAACCAGTGATAAATTGAACACAATTAATCTGCAGCTTTAATATTTCCAATCATTGTTTTCTTTTTTATATTCTGGTAACATTTAATAACTTTGCTGATTACTGATGGATAAATATTTAATACACATTTGTACAAAGAAAAAAAAGAGCCAAATACAGGGTGAGCTGAATGCTCTGGGGTGATGTTAGTTTGCACTTGAACTCAGCAGAAACTAATCTGCATGTTTGTCTGCAGAAACCGAAGCTGAGACTTGTTTCTAAATTCTGCCTCATGCATTTTAAAGTTTGCAAAAATAAATTGTGACCTCAAAGCAGAACGATAGGCGTGAAGCAGTCTCACTCTTCAGCTCAGTCTTTAAAATTATGCTTAATAATGCTTTGCATGTCAGATACGACTAAAAATAAACACAAACTGAACATTTACCAGGATTCGTATCATTATCATTATGGAGTACAGTGGCTGGTGTTCACTTGTATTAAAAAAGCAAAGTGGTTTATCACTCTAACCTCTCATTTTGCCTCAGACAAACAAAATCATTTTGAAATGTGTTTCCTGTGTGTCTCTCAGAGCGGTGCAGCGCTCAGACGATGTCTTAAGTCCTCTGAGGGTGAGCTGGGGAAGCTGGAGCACACATGTCTGCAGCTGCTGGATGACCTGCAGGGCAAGAGAGCTGCAGCTCAGGTGGACGCAGCTGTGGTCCGCATGAGGCGTCAGCAGGTCGACAAGCGAGCCATGCCCGCCTTCCTCCAGCAAGGGGCGCTGTGATGCTAATTTAGTTAATGATGGGAACTATTTACAGGTTAAAGAACATTAGAACAGCTTGAAAATGCACTTTAAGGTAAAATGTTCATGCACAGTCTTGTTTCTTTGGCTTATTTATGTTTTTTCCTAAGCTGTTTAGTTTTAGTTGAACTGTATTACATAATCATAGATATTTAATACACAAGTGATCTGCAAATTTCAGAAAAAACACATTTTATTCATAAACCAAAACATTACATGTTTCAACTTAGAAAATATACAATTTTGGAAATATTAGCTCATTTTGAATTTGATGTGGCAACACGTCTCACAAAAGTTGGGACAGATTGTGTGGCAGTGTCCTGTGGCCCCTCTTCTTTTATATCCAGTCCCTAAATGTCCAGGGTCTGGGGAGAGCAGCTGCTGGACCTTTGGTCCTTTTCTTCTCTGATAGCTGATTCTAGCTGCTTAACAGTTATATTTCTTGTTTCATGATGCTTCAAAGGTTTTCTGTTGATGAAAAGTCTGGAATGCAAGCAGGCCTCTCCAGCACTGAGTTCTGATAATAAGTCAGATTGTCCCTCTCGTCCTCAGTCCGGAGGACACAGTGTCCATGTTTTCCAGTAAGAATTTCAGATTTCAGTTTGTCCACAGAACAATTTTCCACTTTGCCTTTTAACGAGCTTTTTCCCCAGAGAAGTTCTTTGCATGGTTGTGCGTTACCCTGCTTTTGGGGGTGGCGCAGAGAGCTGTGTTCAAAGACTGTGATTTCTGGAAATGTTGCTGAGTCCATGCAGTTGTTTCCATGACTGAATCATGTTGGTTTTTAATGCAGGGCTGCCTGAGGGTCCAACGATCACAGGCATACAGTTTAGAGTTTTGACTTGATCATCATTTGCATATCACCATCATGCAGATGATGAGATAGTTTTTTACACCGAGAAGTATTATTATAACTTTTCATGTTAATCTCAGACTCTTCTGTTGGTACAGCCCATCCAAAAATCCTGTTCTCCAGATTTAAATTCTAGTGTGTCTGAGCCGTCTGATCTGTGGATGGATATTCTAACCAAACTCTGAGCTGATAGCCTCATACTGCGTCATCTTGTTAAATACGACAACTTCTGGCTCCAAAAAAATGAGCACTGTTCAATTCAATTCAATTCAATTTTATTTATATAGCGCCAAATCACAACAAAAGTCGCCTCAAGGTGCTTTATATTGTACAGTAGATACAGATAAAAGCCCAACAATCATATGACCCCCTATGAGCAAGCACTTTGGTGACAGTGGGAAGTAAAAACTCCCTTTTAACAGGAAGAAACCTCCGGCAGAACCATACTCAGGGAGGGGCGGGGCCATCTGCTGTGATTGGTTGGGGTGGGAGAAGCAAAACACCATCTTTGACACTTAAAATACAAAATCAAAGACCATGGGGTATGCCTGTTTGTTGTTTGCACCAACAGGCATCTGGAGCCATCATCAAGTGGACACTCAAAGAACTGCAGCATTTAGGAATCGCATGCTAAATACTGCAGGCTGTTATTCTGCAGTCTGGCCTGATAGAATAGAATAGCCTTTATTGTCATTGTACATGTGCAATGAAATTGTGATGTACAGTAGGAGAGAGTTAGGATGAAATCTTCAGCAGCTCCACAGAATTCAGCTCTGGGTTTGAAACCAGTATAATTCTGTGGGTTTCTCTCAAGACAGCGTATCACTCCACAGACACACACACACTTTCATTCTGATCTAATTAGGCTATCTGTTATTGAAATAACAATAATAACAACAATGGAAAGAAAACTTTTTGTATGCCTGAAAAACAGAAATAGGAAAAAGTATCCAGAGATGGAGTAATTCGATTATCTTATCTAACACACAATAATCATATACTGCAGATTATCTCAATGCAAACACTATGAACAAATCTTACTGTGAAAAAACATGAAATCACCCTGTGTTCAGTTTGAAACTGTGGGACTGTTCATTGCTTCTAATCACTTTTCTCGTCATGGGACTGCAGGTCACTTGACATCCCTCCCACCAAACTCAACGTCTTTCATTAGGAGATGAGATGTGATTTAATAAACCTGCCCTGCTTCACCTCAGTACAGACACATGTCACATCATTCTTTAGAAAAAAAACCCTCAAGAAAGCTTAATACTTTCCACTTTTTCCACATTTTAAGCTACACAGATGTGGATTTTCTTCATAAAGCCCCGTTGATTATCTTAAGTCTGAATGGACCTTTTCTAAGCAGCCATGGCTTGGAACAGAAGTCTAACAGTCTAATTTAATCATAAGGAGTGGGGTGGGAGATTCTCCCAGAGTTGATTAAGGGAATATTAAGAGAAACCAGTAAGAGATTTACCTTCAGATCTCTGTGGCTGCTCCGTCTGCGTGAAGCTAGTTTGTAAAACTTTAGCTTTAAATTAAAAGAACAAACAAAAAACAACTTGATTTCTTGAATTCAAGATGAAAACAGCGGATTCATTCTAGAAAATATTCTGAAAGAAACGCCTTTAAGAGCTGAAGCGTCGACCGGCAGGAGGATTTTCTCCTGGTGAGACAGAAACATCAGTGATGTCGAAGCTGCTTAGCTCTCTGCTTCTCCTGTGTTTACTTCCAGCTGTGGGTAAGTCAGCAAAGACGGTGTGTGCATGCTTCTGCTCGTGTGTTTAAAGGCACAATCCATGCAGCTATAGCAGACAGAAAACTCCAAGGTTAACATTAATATAAAAAACCTTATTTTCTTGCATAATTAAGATCTAGTATTTTCCCCTCATTGTTTGATGTATGAAATTTTTGGAAAAGAACTATTTAAGTAGCTTTAATGTGAGATGAATAAAGATGTAACTGGGAAACTGGAACCATTACACCTTATAAAACTGCCTAAATAAAATTATTTTAAAATACAGAAATATTTTTGTTTAGTAATGAATATGTTTGATCTTTGTATTACTTGTATATATAAAAAACCTCTTTGTGTCACATGATGCCGTTCCATAAGAAATATCCAAGTGCATTAGCAATCAGAGGTAGTTAACATAGAAGAGTTTAAATAGCTGAGGCTAACAGACAGTGCACAAGAGAGTGCACGCAGGGTGGAGTGGGTGGAGGTGAGACAGAAGGATACATGTGAGAATAAAAGGGAAGGTTTATAAGACGGTAGTGAGACCTGCTGTGACGTATGGTTTGGAGACTGTGGCACTGATAAAACGACACGAGGCAGGATTTCACTGAGAGTGACCGGACAGGATTAGAAGCTAATATATCAGAAGAGGCGAGCCTGAGTTTGTTTGGACATGCGCAGAGAAGGGATGGTGGATATGTTTTAGAAAGGATGTTTGATACCAGACAGGAGGAAAAGAGGAAGACCTCAGAGAAGATGCGTGATGTAGTGGAGGAGGACCTGCAGATGGTGACCTCTAAAGGAAGCAGCTGAAAGAAGAAGTGGTTAACATTCGTGTTAGTGGTAAAGATAAAGCAGTGTGTTTCATCATATTAGGGCTGCAACAAATAAATATTCTAACCACTGATTAATCTCGGTGATTAATCATTTTGAAGTACATTTTTAAAAGCAGTTTAAAAGACATCCGTTTTTACCATCCTTGTATTTTGTGATTATTATGATTCAGTTGACTTTTTTACTGTGGCTCACATGCAAAACTCACATCTGTACTTCAGTTCCCCTCTTCTGTTACACCTGTGTGTTCCCCACCATCTCCCCTCTGGACTGCATCAGATTCCCCCTGAAGTGTCCACCTGGGCAGCTCTGCCTGTCCAGCCGAGCCGTGGGTGAGAAAGGTGAGTTCAACTCGAGTCACTGAAAGTCAAATTTAAATGAATCAAAACTGAGAAAAAGAAGCGAGAAAGGTCAGCGCCCGGCTCGGGGAGGAGTGTGTCAGTGTGATTTGCTTCTTTCTTTCAGGGGACTTCCGTGTGGTTTTGTACGAGAAGAGCTGCGTCCTGCCCTCCCTGTGCGGAATCACGGGTGAAAAATACGCGCTGGGACTCAACTTCACCTTCACCAATGAATGCTGCAACACTCACTTGTGTAATGGTGCTGCTACATCTGCTGCCCCCTACTGGATTGGGACATTATTCACACTTCTAACTCTGTACTCCGTTTGGTGAATAGTCAACGATATAAAGCAGTTCTGGCAGAGATAGAGTTCCTATTTCCGCCCTCTAACGGACAAAAGCTGTACTAAACTTTTTTTAAACAATATATTTATTTATTTTTACTCTAACAGTAAATCGGTAACAATGAGGCAAGCGCACCAGTGTAGTTCAAGTTCAAGTTCAAATTTTATTTGCCACATGCAGTGGCAGGTTGCCCTGCAGTGGAATGAACCCGCCCCCGACCTTACACACACACACAGACATCACATGGGGATACAAGTCAGAGAACGGTTGCATTACAGAAAAACACTGAATGTACCACTACAATGGGAAAGTACAAGAGGAAAAAAAGAGACCTCTGCTCATGCTGGGCTTCTATGGGAGGACAGCATGACAACAGGAAACAAAAAAAAGTCCTCTGCACAGAAAGCACAGAAATGTCCACAGCACAACATTATAGAGCACGTGACCAGCAACAGGGTTGGGTAGTGTGTGAGGAATAATCCTCCGCAACACAGCAGCCATCCTGTAATGTCCAAATTCACACAGACACACATGAAAAAGTACAACGTTTAAAACAAACAATATCCTGGTAAATTTTCTGTTGGATCCAAAAATCTCACAAAATTAAAAAAAACCGTTTTGTGGTTCAGTATATGCAGGTCTTGAAGGTTTGAGTCCATTTATAATATTTTGTCTTCATTAATTTTTGCTCATTTTTATATGTCTGTGTTTCTGGATACAAACCAATCACAGTGAAACAGGCTTTCTTTAGCCTCTGCACATTTAGTTCATATATTTATATCGTAACAATTTACCTGCATTAACCAGTTACAGTGTGTTAATCTGAGGCATGAATTCACCTGCTGATATTTTCATTTTAAAATCTTTGTTCTGTGCATTTATTTCATGACCTGAAGTTTCTGACCAGCAGGATGGAAACATTCTAAAATACTGATATGACTGCCTGTGTTGGCCTTTTAGTGGTGTGCGGATCGATATTGAAATATCAATTCTTCCGATACCAGTAATTTATATTCTAGAATCGATTCTCATATTAAAATATCGATATTTTAGTACTTTGGGGTAAATTTGTAGTTTTTCATTAACAGGAACACAGTGGAAAGAAACTACATAATTCTGATCGTCTAAATTGGAAGGAACTACTTCCTCTTACGCCTTTCACAGTCATATGCGAAATATAAATGTATAAATGTGTCGCAGCCCTGGCGTGGACACTCACAACAATGGCCGAGCGTGAACGGAGTCATGTGTGGACGTATTTTACCTCCACAAACGGCCGAGACGTGGTTTGCGATACATGTGGCAACACCACTAACCTGTCAAACACCTCAGAGTAAATCATATCACAGAATATGACGAGCTTATGTTGAGGCGAACTGAAGAGGAGGAGAAGGACAGGTGCTGCTAGGGGAGACAGATGAATTTCGCGGAGTCCTTTAGTGCTGCAGGCAGGCAACGTGTTCAAATAGCACAAAACTTCGGGTTTTTTTTATTTCTATAATAATTCTACATTATTAAGCAATATGAACAAGTAGTCTGACATCCTGTAATCATTACAATGATTACGA